TGCAAACATTATTGTATGTAAGTTAATATGTAACTGAGTATACCTTTATGTAACAAAAAATTTATCTTAGCCGCAATATATTTGGTAGTTGATACATCCACGCATGTGTTTTTCTAGTAACTTTCTTCATTCTTCAAGCTCATTATTGTTATTTTATCAAAATTTATACGATATTTCTTCAAATTTTATACGATATTTCTTCCAAATTTGAAGATAGTTAATGATGATATACTAAATAGAATCAGATTCGGAAATATTCGAATCGAAACTTTGTGATTCGAAATTCGATTCGAAAAAAAATATTCGAAACTTACATCCCTAAAGTGAGCATTATCTTACGTATAAATTTCATATTGCTCTCCGTTCAACAATTAAACAATACAAGATAGCGATCAGAGATCGCTGGCTTATTGATTTAGCGGCGTGTATCCTTCGGTCTGACTCAATAGCGTGGAAACTTTCTCGATGGATCAATTATCTTTTGTCATAAACTGTACACTCACTAAATATTCCAAAATACGCTAAACAACGTTAGAATAAGAATTTTATGCAGCAACTACACAAGGATAGTTACTATGGATTCCGATAATTTAAAGTCGGTTGAGGGGAAGATCTTCATATGATCCAATATTATAATTGCGTTAGGTATGCTTTGGGGAAGGATCTTCAAGGGATCTCCACATGATTCCTTTTAACCCATTATTGCTAATACCGCATGTTATTTGTCTGAAAACGGTTGTAGCCCAATTCATTTTCCATATGATATTTTCATGCAACGTTTAATACGAAAACTTTTGCTAAAGAGTTGCTTGCCTTCGTTTTTACCGTTCTAGTAATTTGGATTTCAACGGTGTACTTGCTTACGTGTATTTCATAATTTATTCTGCTGTTTGGAACAATTCAGTTTCATCGCTTATCCTGACATTGACAATATACGAACAATTGGCATAGAAATCATAGTGCCCTAATTTGACCTTTGGAGGAGTTCTCTCTTTCATATCATCTCTATGCCCCTTTAGTGCCCTAAGCACTGAAGACTTTGGTGCCCCCTTATGTGTAATTTAAATTATAAAAACAGTAAACCACATAAGTGTATTATCCATTAAAAATAATCACAACCAAAAGTCAATAAAACAACTTTTAAGAACAACTTTAGATTTTTTAAGTAACCGATATATATAGGCCGTTCACTGCCGATATGATATACATATTGGCAAACACGCAATATCGGGCCGGTATATTGGTTGAGCTCTAATCCTGAGGGGGTGTTACAGATTCATGCGCCCGGTCCCAACGTGAATCGAAATACCAAAAGATACCAGTCACAACTGTAGTTTAAAATTTTACCGGTACCTATAGTAGTCTACTTCAAGGTGGTTCAAGGTTGAAGGACCGCAAAAACTTCTTGCGGGCCGCAAGTCGGAGAATGGAAATGCGTTTTTGCCCTGTTTTCCTTATGTCACCTTTCTTGTGTCACTCATTTTTATTACGAATTGTTATATATATTTGAGTAATTTAAAAACTTGAAGCGTGAGCAAGCTTAGCGCCATCCTCAAATAACAACCAAGTCCGTCTAAGTTGGTATTTCGGGACCTAGCTAAAAAAAAAACTGGATTGCGCAACGTTAAGTCGGCTCTGCGTTCTATCACTACTGTCACATCGCCCACGCTTGAAAACAGAGCAGTGTTTTTACCAAAATAAAAACACAAAACTTTAGAAAAAGGGTTTGATTCTCGGGATCCCAACCCCAGTTGGATTAGCTGAAAAAACTCGAAAATGTTCTGCTATTAGATACAAATATACGCTAAAATTGTTTTGTGGGTCGCACGGAATGTATCAGCGTGGCAGGGTTTGGACCACCCTGGTCTACCTTATCAAAAAACTCCCGACTTCGCTGGCCACTAGATCGTTGAAATGCGATCCCGGAACCGCCACATACGAGTAGTGCAAATAGTTTATTGGTCCAATAGTTGGAGAGGAAAGTGATTTTTTTTAAAACAAAAATGCAGCAGCAAGGAGAATAATTGGAAGAAACAACAATAAAAAATTATGAAAACGACTCTTGGGCCCACTTCGTGTTCAATAAATGAGTTTCAGTGTTTATTTTTAATAAAGAAGGTTAATAGGATACTTGAAGACAAAAAATAAGCAAACATTTTGATGTTTGAGTCGTCTGTAAAACTCATAATATTTCAATAAACACCGATAAACTATATAAAATTCTGCTATAAAATTTCTGTGATCCCCCTCTTTGCTTGGTGCCATAAGCACGTGCTTATATTGTTTAATGGCTAATCCAGCGCTGATCCCGGGGTTGTGAGAAGGCGACATAATCGTGACGTAAACCGGTGTGGTCTGCAATAGTTATTTTCCCCAGGCGCAAATACTGTTTGGCGAAGACAGCTGTAACTAACAAACGTTACTTGAAATACGCCACAAAGATGGCATGCAAGTTCACAAGAATCAGCACGACGTGTCATCTTATCTTTCGTTACGCCGAATTGACTACTTCAACTCTGAAATAGGGTTATGGAGACAGATTTTCTCGCTTCTAGATCGTTGTACCTTATCATCCTGAACCTAATTTAGTTATTGTTAAATTTCAGAACAAATCTATAACCTCGAAATGGCGTCAGATGTTGCAAGACAAAGATCTAATATGTCTGATAAAAACTGGCAAACAAGTTTTGACACGTCGAGTGTGGATGAATATTTAGATAATGCACACGCCGTAAAATGTTCATTGGACACGAAATGTACATATGGATCGTGTTGATGTTGATCTTGTTACAGTGATTTCAAAGTTCATTTCTTCGTGTTTAAGATGTTTATTATATATGCAAAAGTAGTGTTTGCTAGAGACTAGAGCAGGGGTGGGCAACATACGGCCCGCGGGTCGGATCCGGCCCGCGACGAGATTTTGACCGGCCCGCTGACTGTATCCAACCACACCCTGTAATGTGGTCCGACGCATCCTTCCTGAAGGTTGCCGATCTACTCTCACCGCACTGTCAGCGCAAGCTGGTAAAATAAACAATTGCCTTAGGGAACAAACAATTGCGTTAGCACACTTGTTAAACAAACAATATAAGGTCAAAGCAGAAAGCGTTGTAAACATGCCATAAACATAATCCATATCCACATAAACAAATTTATTATTTTGTCAACCAAAAACAAACAGTCATCAATACGAAAAAAATACATAACCAAATAAAATTGCTTCGGTTTTGACAGGAGGGAGCGATACGACCATGATGTCATCGAGGTCAACTCCCACCCTATTCAGTTTCACACTGAAGATGACTATTAGAAAAGTTGGTCTCTCAAATAATACTTTTAAAAATTCGATGTAATCTCAGAAAACTATTGGGGGAGGTCATGTTTTATTGAGAATTCATTTACACCATAAAAGTTTCATATGCTTTAGATCAGTGGTTCCCAACCGTCGGTCCGTGGACCGGTGCCGGTCCGCGAGGCTTTTTTGCCGGTCCACGGAAAATTTCATTTTGTTGTTTATCAACGGTCTCAATCGCTTTACCGAAGCCGAAACGACAAAGTTACGTTGGTTTATTATGCAATTTCTCTTCCAGCGTCATATTGCTGCTGGATACGTGCGGGATGGCCGGGCGACGTCTTGGCGCCGAGTAATCCTACTTTTCGGTTCATCGCGAAGGCGCTCCGTCAAATCTCGCAAGATTCAGAAGCCTGGAAATCAGCATTCGTGCTTTTACCGTTCTGCATGCTTTTCTTAATTAATAGGTCAAAGTTATGTTGGTTTATTACGCAATTTCTCCTCTGCCGTCATATCGGTGTTTGATAAGTGCGGTATTAATGGCCCGGCGACGTCTTAGCGCTGAGTAATCACTTTTTGCTTTTTCGGTTCCGATTCATCGTGAAAGCGCTCCTTCAAATCTCGCAAGATTCAGAAACCTGGAAATCAGCATGCGTGCTTTTTCCGCTCTGCATGATTTCCTTGATTAATCCAAATAAAAGGTTATGAATATTTCTTTGTTTAAACCAGAATGTATCAAGATAGACAGTATAATATTCTAGAGCATCACCATGAGCATCTAATAAAGATTGGATACCGAAGAATTTTTTGTAATCATCCAGCCCGCCGAGTACTTCATTTTCCCACATCTGGCCCGCCGACTAGAGAAGTTGCCCAACCTTGGACTAGAGTATATAAAAGCATCTTTTTCACTTTGCGAGATTGAGAAAGGTTGTCTTTTATAACCTGGCTAAGCCACTCCGGTCTGTTAACGTTTTGTGTCGTTGCATTTGAACACTTAGACCAATTAGTTCGTCTTTTTTTTTTTTCGTTAATTCAGATTCTCTAAGTGTGACGATGCATCGCTAGTCATGTAATTATATAGAATCGATAGCTGGAGGGAGCTTTTATGGAGGTCGCGATACGATTCCTATAATTTTCCCTTTGATTTTTATGTATAAAAAACTATCCTGTCGATTGATGTCATTTACGGACGTTTCCGCCTCAAATTTCGTGATTTTTTTAAAATATAGATGCAAATTATACGTCTGAGTTCGCCGTAAAATTCCAACAAGACACAAATATGAAACACAAAATTTGCAGCTGCTGAATTTTATTACGTCACTTGTGACGTGTTTAAACAATTGCACTATATACCAAGAAACTAAAGCCCATTTCAATGTGGTACATACCCGACCTAATAAAAACAATTACCAAAAATTTAGCAATATACTAAATAGTGTTTTTGCTTGTGATGATTATAAGGTTGAATCAGACAATAAAAGTAGAAATATTTTTTTGCGATATCATTTCAGAATTACATATACAGTTGATGAAATCTATACAATAAAAATATTCAAAGCGGGATTTTGCAAATCTCATTTTTAATGTGCGTGTAGTTTATCCATACGCAAATAACCACCAAATCAGAATGACAGAATCAAGGAAACTAGAGACTAGATTTATCAGTTACATAACTTTTATTGCATTATTCAAAATTTCTCCTTTATTAATATAATGTACATTACAGTAACGCGATCAGTTAATGGGTTAATAATGAAGCACATATACTAATCAATGGAAAATTCTACATCTACAAAGCACTTTAAAGCACAAATTATACAAAGAATATGATCAGATAATACAGAGCAAACGTTTATCATCTTTTCGATCTTATAATATTATGGGCCGATGTCACTTGTACATTTGCAAGATCCGACTTTGTTGATTGCTTTCATTTTTTGAGAGCCATCATCACAGGTCATTAACACCACCGATTCTTCGATAGTCGGCTCGCAACAAGTGCACATAGCTGTCATAACACACAATAAAAGATTTGAAATAAGAACAAACCAAAATAAATATATATCAGTAAATTGATATATTTCTTTAGTCTATCTTACCATCAGATGTTCCCGTTTTGTAATTAACAGTTACAGTGTTAGGGCAAGCCCCCTCACAAGCTCCAATATCTATATCTTCAATAGACCAACAGTTTAATCCGCCGATTGTTGTGGCTGTCAAGTTTTGTTTTCTCTCAACACGTTTACACAGCGTACCTGAGAAATAATAAGTAATTGTCAGATCAGTATATTGTAAAAATATTCAGGGGATGGTTAGGTATAGGATTCTTATTATTACTGAAATACAGTTGGCAGCCCGAATTAAAAAGTGTTCATAGCGAAATAATGCATTTTAATAATTATCCTGTGTATAGCTAATGCAATGGTGATTTAACAATGACTATAAACACTCACATTCCTTACAGCATCCGTCATATTGATCTAATCCTCTGACAACTCCACCACGCTGGAAAATGAATGAAATAATAAAGGATAAATAACAATTGCTTCTGCAACACATGTATATCACAAGTAGGTCGGTTCAATAAATTAATTATTGATAATCACAAATCAATAAAACGAGAAAAATATTGTTGAATGGATAGAAATCAATTGACTGCATAGTCATATTGTCATATAATTTTTATTCATCATTTTACTTCATTTTTTTAAATTATAATGCAAATCAATGCATTAAATTATTTGTTTTATTACGAAATATCATTAGTTAAAATAATACAATATATTTGTGTAATTTAGACTCTAAGTATTAATATCGAACAAAAAATAATATCCATAATATGATAATTATATATAAATGAAAATTGAGACTGTGTTTTCCACAGTTTTCAGAGTCGTTTCATCGCACGGCCAGCGCAGTTATAAAAATAGCGATGATATTTTAAATACTACAGCAGTTGCTTTGATATATGAACTTACTCCTTCGCAATCGGCGACATCCACTGGTTCACAGTCAAATCTAGGACGATTAGTGATGGTGGGACATTGACCTTCTCCTTCAGTACATGTGTATACATTGCATTCATTTGTCCAAGTCTGATTTGTCTAAAAATAAAATTATAGCCTGATTACGCTACCATGATGTGACAATGATTAAGCAGGATAGAGTACAAACAAAGACCAGCAAACGAACAAATATACGCGGTTTATCTAATGGTGTTGATTAGCACCAAAATACGGATATCAGTTAAAACAATACAGTTTAGTTACTTGCATAAAGATTTAGACCAGACGTGGTCAAAGTACGGGCCCCTGGTCAAATCCGACCCGCTAGGTAACTCAATCTGGCCCGCCTGATGCTATCACAACTAAACTGAAACCAAATTTTGATGTCTAAGTTAAAAATAGCTCAGAACTTGGTTGAGATTGGGTTTAAATTTAGTTTTGGCACGAAGTTTATTGTTTTTCACTGTTGGCTTTTGTAAAACTTTAAACATTGTTCATGAAATGTAACTCTTTACGTCTTACTTACACGGCCCGCCAGTCCAAGTTGGCAAAATTTTCAGCCCCCGATACTGAAACCGTGCACATCCCTGATTCAGACACACACATATTAGGTTTTATGAAAAGTCGAATATTTCCCACATGCTGAATTTCAGCAAAATTGTAAGATTGAAATCATTTGAAAAGAGGAATTCTACAATTACACTGGGCAGCACACCAATTTCGTACATTTTAGCAGTAATAGCATACAAGTTTGACTTACGGTACGTTCTTAACAATGTATGACAACGGTGTACAACCTTTAATACATGTGGAACAGATGAAGTAACTGGATGAATTTTTCCTTGTTGGCCAAATTTGAACCACGTGCCACAGTTTGCACACCCCAGATGTATGAAGTAGTAGATGCATTGCTTGATGCAAGAGTAATAAGCAAGCGAGCTGGTTTGTGCGTTATTGGGTCGCATTGACAATGCCACCAACTGCTTTTCTTGCATGTGTATGCGGATTGATTTTTTTAGTCAATGATTTTTTTTTCAAACAAATTGGACCTTACCTTTCTTATAACATCATCGCCGGATCTACAGTTGACACATCTGCATCCATATTTTGGACAGCATGTTGTACCTCCCGGTACTTCATATCTTTCATACAATTCATCATCGCAAGTAAATCCGTAATCCGAGCATTTGGTAGAATCACATGTACAGGTAAAATTCAGGCAGCATGGATCTGAACTTCCCAACTGTCATATAGTAATTTGATACTTTATTAATCCATACTATACAAATAAAAAATAGACCCCATCTTGGATATGCAACTCCATCTATTGCAATAGTTCTGGAACTGTGGGGCAGCTCTTCAAGGAAAGCGTAGACAACTGTTTGTGGGGGCGTGAAGCTAATTGAAATTAAAAAGATATGTTTGATTTTATCTTGCCCGCCTTATTTTGGATATTTACATTTGTTTATTGTTTAGACTTTGCATAGAACTGTTGTGCTTGTTAATTTTATTATTTATTATTTTCGACTTCGACTATCTGTTATTTTTAGCCTATTGTTTGCTAGTTATTTTGAGGTGGGGTGCGAAAACAAAGTAATTCTAAAAATGTGGTGAGACTTAAAAAGTTTGAAAATTGCTGATCTATTTTAAAGATGGTAACTGAATCTATATCCGCAAGTATTGACCATAGCATATATTACAATACTTTTAACTATTGTGTCATACATCCACGAGTGATAAATTGGTTTAGAGAAGTGCAAACTTTGGGATTTTACTCACCCTATGTTTAACGAAGCCATCTTCTTTACATTCAAAATTTTTTGACATTTCACATATACTTTCCAATTCAGTATCATTTCGACAAACACACGTATAATCCTTACAGCAATCTCCAGTATTGGGAATCACACCTTTTTCTTCCGTCCTCTCGCTAGGAAAACAATTGGCTGAGGAATGAGGGCAATTGATAGTAGTATCATTGCATTCACATGAAAATTCCTCACAGCAAAGATTATTTTCCATAAAGGAACTAGTGGCTATAGCATGTTGGTAAGGGGTTTTACAAGTTTGTGATTGGAAGTTTTCTTCGGTTTGACACTTGGTTGATGGGTCATCTATACCTAATGTACATATATCGTCTGATCTCACGCAAAATTCCTTGACAACACATCCAGAAACAATTGTTGTAGGCAATACCTGTCCAACTTTTATAACAGATCCATCTTTTGATGTACATGAGTCACATATACATCTGTAGTCAAAGCAGCAATATTGGGTATCTATAGTTTTATTTATCTCCGCAATAAAACCCGGGTCACATGAGTATTTGCATGCTTTGCACCTACATTCATAATAAGGACAGCAGTCAATAATGCCAATAAAGGTTGATTCTTTGTTAGGTGGACATTCAATACCATCATAATTTTTGCATTCTTTTCTCAAAACGGTATCATTAACGATGCATTCACATCTATATTCGGGACAGCATTGGTAAAGTGATGGGAGTTGTTTAGCTGTCTGCAATGGCCCGCAATCTTTTGTTGGGCATGTAGATTTTTCCGTATATATTGTTTTTACAGTATGACAACCATCTGTGCCCTTTACTTCGGAACAAACCTTTGTAACATTACAGAACTCATCGGTTGCATTCCAAGATGTACCAACCTGAAAATTGTGCGAGAAAACAAGTGTTAATTTCTCTGAAAGTTGACTTTGTTATTACTATTATTACTAGCATTTGGTTATTCATTCGGCTTTGTTTAGCCTCATTGAACTTAAAACCATTTACAGTAGTAATAGACTGAAATGTAGATTTTTTTATTTCAGTTTTCAAGTAACATTAATCCAAGGATAAGTAATGTCAAACAAAAACAATTGTCTTTCAAATACCTTCATCATTCCTGATGGCGTTTTACAGTGTGTACATATACATTCTCCACAACATTTGGTGTCTGGGTCTTTATATGACATTGCGTATCCTTCGGGACATGATTCCACACAAGATTCTTGATATGTCTTATTTTGTGAACATTCACATTTTTCTTCTGGACAACATTCCTCTGTATCAGTATATGCCTTTTTCTGCATTAAAGATTTACATCTATTATTTCCATGAATACAACGTACTTGCCAAACAAACGATTTCATAACAAGCCATTTTTATGGTGAACGCTTTTTTGATTTAGGCAAAATGAATACCAATCACATTAGGAATTTGGGTAGAAGTTGCAGATGGCAGCATCATCTATCTGACCAACCAATTTAATTAACGTGTATGAACAAACCTCTGAACGTATTCAGGTTAATTTATATGTAGTTGGGCACTAGTGGAGAAGCTACCAAACTAAAGTTACGTAAATCAAACGTCCATATTCTTGATTATAATTTAAAACATAACCAGTTGAAAAGATCAAACAGACAGCGATGTGTTAGTGAACAACATTGTTCGGATCTCAGGAATTTTCATTGATTACAACACGATCAATTAAAAATTGTCTGATTGAATAATGTTGTCCTTGATTAGCTCTGAACATAGTAATCATAACTCAACGATTAGAATTGGTTCTTACCACATCCTGATAGATGTTGCAATCCAAGTTGCTTTCGTTGCATGTTTTATTACACACACATTCATACACTGGACAGCAGATACCATCTGTCCAACTTTTAATTGTGGGAACTTTGAATTGTGAACATGTTAACACTGGCCCGCATTTTATGGGGTCACAGCTACACTTGCAGTCACAAACATTTTCACTGTTGACATAAGATAAATGTAAATTTTAATTGGCACAGAAGATAAATGTCAGGTTTTAATTGGCATAAAAAGCGAAGAGAACGCTATGAGAACTCGCTAATTCCAAACCAATCATTTAGAATAGATATACTGCATATATTATTTAGATAACATACATTTGAAGAACAAAAAAACAAAATTTGTTCATCAGGTATATATTTTTACGAAGAATAACTTTTACAAAGTTTTCCAAAGGCATATGTTAGACAGAAATATAACATATATAGAAACAATATAACATGTATAGAAACCACATAGGACTTAAAATGAATCAACTCAAAACCTAAAAAAAAATAAAAACGTATCGAAAAAGAAATGAGTAAGCACGCATTTTATTCATGATCAAACCTGACCTTCAAATTTTTTGCTTTTCTAGCGACCACCCTGTATATTATGGTTTTCTCAAAAGTTGAATTGCTAATTTGCAGAGCGCTGCCCAATTCGAAAAAGTTTTTGATGAAATAATTTTTCGATTTTACTAGCTTTATATCACGGTGTGAACCATTTCTTATAGTGATTTCGGATGTTTGTTTCCCATTTTGAAGTTATACCTTGACTTTGCACTCCACGTCTCCCATTCGCACTTCACACCGGAGCAATCACATGTACAATTGAAGTCAGGGCAACAATTTGTGGATGTAACCTCTGCTGTTTTTACTTTAGTATAATTTGCTGGGCATTTGTAATTTTCGCTGAAAAAGTAACAAAAAAAGAGTAAGCACTTTAATCGGAAAATGTTTAGCATGAATTTTGATGAACGTTTTATAAATTGGCATCCATAAGACTCTTCAGACAACTGATACATTAAATATCATTATTTTTTTTGTGAAAATCTAACACGGCAAAGGTTTTCTTATTTTTGAAGAAACCACTTCAAAAACAATCTTCAAAGTAACAAGAGAGCAAAGCTCAAAATGTGGACATAAATTCCAATAACTACCCACAGTGAAATGTGTATGAGCAAAGAGTCCGCAAAATCCAATCAGAGGACTACCTTGACGTAGGATAAAATAACATATTTTATAGGATTCATAAGAAACTTGGGAAAACAAACTGTAATCAGTTGAATAATCAGTTGAAGCAATGAACAAAGTTTGTTAACTAAAAACATATAACTTCTCATACTCTTTGTCGCATTTTATTGTTTCCTTATCTTTGCAATGACAAGCCATTTCAGGACAGCATCGATGTTGCAGAGTAGAACCTGATTGAACCAATTCCATGTGTGTTGGGTCGGAACAATGTGATGTGTCACTTTTCCATCCATCACATATGTTTTTAAGTTCTTCGAAGGGCTGAGAATTGTAAAAGACAGTTCAAGCACAAATTAGTATAAAATAAATGAATTGAAGTTTGACATAAATCTGAATTTTAGTTTTTAAATGAACTATTAAAAACTTGTATTTAGAAAATTACTAAACTCGTAAAATCTAAAAAAATACGATTTTAAAATATTGTTGAAACAAAATGATAACAATACCAACGATACCTTGCATGCACAAGTTTCTGCATCACAGCATTTCCCAGGAATCAAAGTTGTTGTTTTATTCTCGAATTCTTCATCGCAATCTTTTGTAGGACATAGATCTCGATTAACTATATATTCAGGACAAAGTTTACCTACAACTGTAAATAAACAACATATATCAAATTATCAATTCTTATTCCATAGAAAGACAGTTTTTATGAAAATGTTCAAATTTTACCAGTAACGCAGGTGAAGTTTTCACAATGATCATTGCCTTGAACAGTAGTACCAATGTCAGATTCTCCAAGATCTCCATCAAAACATTTTGAACAAACACATTTTGATATGGGACAATCTTTGTTTTCACAACTGTTTGTATCATCCCTCTGTATTAAGAAGTACAAAAGCCAAGTATTACCACTCGAAAACAAACAAATATTCGGCCATCAACGACCATGAAAATATCGATTGCTTCGTATAAAGTGAAGTGAAAATTAAATGAATTTATCCAAAATTATTGAATAGCACAAATATTTTCAAAGCATTCTTATACTTCTATTTTAAACGGATGGATTATGTGTTAAACCAGTGTTTCCAAAACTTTTTTCTGCCAGCGCCCCCTTGGACGACTTTTTAACTAGCAAACGTCCCCCTAAGAAAAGAGTCAAAACAATTCTCCATTTATCATATTGTGTTTTGTTTAGTATATTGTGACGGTTGAGCCTAGTGAAATGCCACCAGCTTGATAATATCTGGCTTCATTTCATTCAAAAACAGTCTTAAGTCTGCTCGTATGACACTGTCGGGGGAATCTCTCCCGATATGTAAAAGTACGGTCACTGCACTAAATACCCGCTCTACCAAGAATGAACTGGCAAGAGCAATCAAAATACTTTTAACCCGATCTCACTCGTGAGAAAATTTCAATTTAATTCTGTTACCAAAAAGATGAAACACTGAACATGGGTTTGAAAGTATTTTCGCTTCTGAAAAATTCGGGGTAATCTAGAAAACGGAAATCAAACATTTCTCTCTTCAAAAATATTATTTAATTTTATTTGCACTTGAACTTCTGTTTGCGTATGATTATATTCAGAAGTTTTGCAAAATCTCAACCACTCACCTAATTTTCTCGTTGTTTCAATGTTGCAAAAAGAATGCAATTGCCGAGGAAGGCATTTGGAACATATTCTAGGAGCAACATGATTTTTGTGCAAAACGTCCTATATTTTTGGACACTTCTGGGTACAAACATACGCAAACAGAATTTCAAGTATAGACAAAATTAAATAATTCACTTCATTTTCGTATAAGTAATCGAGAAATTGATGGTCTCGTCTTTTGTGGACCACGCTGTATATTACTGTTTTAAATACAAATCGGTTAAATATGCAGCTAGTCACTGTCTTCGATATTTTGAACTTACGCAACGCAAATGATAAACCGACATTAAACAATGTCAGACACAACATGATATAACAACAAGTTAGATTTTTGCCAAATCATGTATTACTTATGTAGTCTTATTATTCAATGACCCAAGAAATATAAATGAACCCAGCTCCCAGCATGTTGCTCTTAACTAAAACATAATAATAACATAATGGTGTTGTACTTATACTACCGCTCCAAGGCACCATAGAACCAGATAGTAAAATGGAGCCGTTATTTAAAACAGTACAACGAAACGTGCAGTACATGAGGGAAGCGTATGTCGTATGAGCTATGTATTATTGTGAAACAATACGGATTTAAAAAAGTCATAATACCTATTTTACCTTAATTAAGCGAGAAATTTGAACAGAATAAGTTTGAACAAAAACATAGGAGTAAATGACATAAAATATCACAGTTTTTGTGAGTTTGAGTGAGTTGAGTATTGATGTCAGCGCCCCCCCAATTGCCCAAATCGCCATCAGCCCCCCCCTAGGTTATTGCATACGCCCACAAGGGGGCATTTTCACCCACTTTGGGAACCGCTGAGTTAAACCAACCTCATAAGTGGTTTGTACTTCTGCGGGATAACTGCAATCATCATTTCCAGAAGAGTAGTTATCGCTACAGGAATTGTTTTGACATCTGAATTATTAAAAGTTTTTTTATTAGAAAATATATATATCCACTTGAAAATGGAATAGTCATGAATAGTTTTACCAGTAATAAAGACTTAAATTATTTTAAATAATTTTTATCATTTAAATACATACAACTGAAAAATAGCAACAATATTGTATTGACTTATAACAAAAATTATTATGCACTTGAAATAGTGTGTTGAAATATGAGAATCCTCACATAGTTGAATATATCACGTGAAATTGAGAACAATAATTTGACAATAATGAATACAAAATATATAATGGCTAAACTCATGGATATTAAAAATGTATACAATAGTGAGACTTACGTGTGAGTTGGACAACAATAATCCATCCACTGACTTTTATCACTTGCTCCTCCTTCTGGATCGGTTGTTACCAGTGTTTGATAACAATCACAGGATTGTTTAGATGAGCAAGATGGCTTTTGTTCAGATATTTCATAGCAACCATCTGGAAGTTTGATATCTCCAGTACAAGTATAAAAGGTACAACTGCAATAGAAAACAATATGTAGATATTTCGATATCTAACAAAAGAAGAAATTTACAGATAGATTCTATTTTTAGGTTAAAAGTGAATACGAATTGTATGGGCTTTCGTGCATAGTATGATTCTATAGCAACGTTTCCCAACCTTGTTTGGCCGCGGACTATTTTCTCACCGACGAAAACCGTTATGGACTCAAGGTGCGTTTATTGCAAGTGCACTCAGTGTGAAGAAGCAATAAAACCAAACACAACAGAATCTTAACGAATTTCAAAATGAGGAATTCGCCGTAATTACGCGTTCATTAAAACAGCCGACTTTTTTCAACGTATAATGGACTTTCTGTCGCACAATATTCAATCCATGACAACGACGAGAATTCAAAATGTCTTTCTATTTTAATTTAATTGTGTTCATGGTAACTCGGTTGCGTCGATATACGACAAGATGAAAGCAATATTTCTTTAAAATCCCACGGCAATCTGCGAACACAACAATGTGAGAATATATTGCCCGGTTATATTCAGTTTTGATACATATTTTTTTGCGATCTTGCGAATTTGTTAGCACCGTGAGAAAATGCCTACTATCTGCTATAAATGTAGAATGTATCTGCCAGAATGTATAACATAATTTAGTACCTATTGAAAACATATTTAAAGTATATTAGTAAATAAAAAATACATATTCATCGCCTTGACATTCTCGCGGAACAACGTCGCGTGAACGTCACTCGTTAAAAGAGCCGACTATTCAATAATTTTTTCTGTTGCATAAAATATCCAATCCATTCATATTTGTGATCTTTTTAATCTGGGGTTGTGTTGACGAAATAAGAGCAATACTACTCAGAAAATATCATGACGATTCGTGGACACGAAAATGCGTGGTAAAGTGCCCGATTATATTTTGTTTTGATTCGTACTTTTGTGAATTCGACAAATCTGAGCTGTTCGTACAACACTTACGGCGCTTCAGTACTACTGTACGTACCAATGTGGAGGCAGTAAAGCAAATAATCCCAAGGGAAAAAGCCCTGGTACGTGTACTACGGTAGCATCCGAAAGTTTGCGATTTGCAATGTCTAAAAAAGCGTTTTTAATCGGTCGCGAACCATCATAAAACAAAACTTATGGTGTTCTCCGTTTTATATTTTAGTATTTTGTATTGCCGCTTTTCAGTTTAGAAAATTTGGGTGGCCACCATTGACACCTTCCAGAGAAAAATTTATTTCTCGTCGTTCGATCTCACGAGAAACACCACTTAGGTATCTATCGACGCGCGTGCAGACTCGTGTTTTCGTCGGGAATCCGCAAGTGAGTTCCCATCGTTTGATTAAGTGGCGCGCAAGTGACCTGTCGCGTCACGTGTTACCAAATTTTCGAATAGTAATTGCTATTCTAACAGTTGAATATTCGAATATATGCCCAGCCCTACTCACTATCCAGTTATTATTGACTCGATTAATGTTATGTGAATGAACTTGCTTATTATGTAAATTCTAACGTAAATCGTAACTTGGCTGAAAATTAAGTTTCGCAAAAACGTTTGCAGCCCGCATTAAATTTCTGGCTCGTTGCGGACTCATTCAAACGCTTCGCTGACTCATTTGAGACCGCGGACTCGGGTTGGGAAACACTGTTCTATAGGAATAAATTATTTGCATTAATCACGAAAAATAAAATAAATTTATCACATTCCTGTGACAAATGAAAATGAAAAAAAGAAGAAGATAACTTAATGTTAGATGGAAACTATGTTACTCACCCATCTTCTGAGTAGACTCCTGGTGCTCCTATATCGAGACGCTTGTCATCATATACACAAGATGTACATTCACATGCTTTGTGTTCACAACACTGGTCCACGTTGGGACAATCTTTGAAAGCATTGACCCTTGCGTTAGTTGAATTTGCAACTGGAAGAGAAGCCAATGAGTATCCATCTTGACAACTATCTGGGTTTTTCAAAATGTCAGGACATAAAGTGTTATTGCACTTCACATCTTCTCCATTATGACAGCAAATCTCATCCGGTGGATATGTATAAACGTACTAAAAAGAGAAAAGAAGATAAAACAGATGCAAATATTATTAAAATAAATACTTCAGTAAACTTGATTAAAAAAAGTCTTAAAAGGAAAAGCTAAACATAATTTGAGTGAGAACAAAAAATAAGAAACAAAACTAATGAAAGATGACAGAAAATCCATCTGAATACAAATAAAAATACTTATCTTTGAAGCGAAAGTGCAATAGTCCGGTATCACAATTTCAGGTACTTCTGGGCACTCCACTCTTTTACAAGATTGTATTGGACAACAATTTCCATTACAGGCAGCTGTTTCATTCATAGGTCGAGATGCATTTATCAATTTTTCACAAGGTCCGCAAGATTTTATTGGACATAGTTCAGGTTTACATTCACATGTTGTTGAAGTAACACACCCACAAAATGATTTGGAGATTTCTAAATATTGGAAGGTATTGTAAATAAAGTATTACATTGATATCAATGGGATTGAAAAAGAAACTGAATAATGTACCTTTGTCAGTGCAGCCTAGCGTTGTTTGACAATTTGACTCTGATGTTGGGCAACTGCATGATTTGATGCATTGCTTTTCATAATTTTTACAGCAAGGTTTATCCACGTCACTTTCCCTTACTCCAACAGTTTCACATAGTGCAGGAGTGTGAAGAATATTGTTATTCTCAGAACAAGGTGAGCAGATGCATTTAAAGTCGGGACAACACTTGTTTGGGTGTGATTTTCCCCCTGTTTGATCTTTATCAAGCAAAACAGGTGTGTAATAATTTGGACAAGAAGCGCTCAATAGACAAATCCGAATTTGAATTTCACTCAAGGGATCCGAGCATCTACATTCTCCGGGACATCGTTCTATTGTATCGTTTTTAGACAGAAATTCCAATGGAGAGTGACAAGTCCAATTTTTCGAGGAGCAAGATTCTATTCATCGAAAGAAAAGACCATTATAAGGACACTCATACTTTCAGTTTGAAAATTCATCAACGTATTTGATATACTTACCACAATTGAAATTAGCACAACATCCTTCTCTGGGTAATGTTTCAACAGCATATGAGCTTGCGTTACACTTTTCATTCTCGTAACTACTGGCGGATATAAAATCACAAGATACATTTTTCACCTCTGTTATTATTTTATGACAACCGTTTGTCAACAGCACTTCTGAACATCTATGGTTCTTTATTAAGCAATTTTCTTTTGTTTCCCATGTAGAACCAACCTAAAATTCCCAAATGTGGATCAATTAGCCGATTAATGTCTGCTAAAGATTAAAGGTCGGTGTACTTGTTCACATACCAATTTAGTTTCATTCTTCTCAGTAAAGCAGCTGGAGCATTTGCACTGTATATCGCAGCACATTCCTTGTGTTTGCGATGTCTTTACATTTTCCACATATGGTGTGTAACCGGCCCCACATTTGTCTGGTTTTGTGGCATTGCACAATTCATGTAATAATGTAGAGTTAGAGTTACATCTGCATCTTTTTTCTTTTGCGCAACAATCAACTCCGGGATTTTCGTACCAATCATACTGAAGATTGAGAAAAAGTTAAAGCGATGAAGGCTTTGGAGACAAGTATAAGAAAAGTTAAGTATATTATTTTTATTTATTTGAACAATGTATCATCAAATCAATTTTCATCTTTTGTGTAAAAATGGACCAAATGAACCAGCAATACTAAACATAACTTGTTCCGAAATATTTTTAACTTCAACTTATCTGGGAATAAAAAGTTGCTATCTTGCAATGAATTATAGTGCAGTATAAAATTTCTAAATTATGAAACTTGTATAGATATTATTGCTATTATGTATATAATGCATAAAGACTGAAACATGTGAAATTCATCACAATTTATATATGGTATGAATACTGACTATCAATGGAAATAACATTACATTCATAGCTTATTGATAGAAAACTAGTTCCATCACCAATAATCAATATTTATTTCTCTTATACAGTAAATATGAATATATTCATTCATTTCACCTCAATTTGATATTGATTACAATCTGCCGATGGAAGAGCTGGGCAGCTTTCTTTGACACAAACACATTCATACTCTTTACAGCAACCATCATCTTTCGTTCCATTTTCAATACGTTTTTCATAAATTCCACAACTCTTAATATTTTCGGTACATTTTTCTGGTTTACATTTGCATTGGCAGTCGCATTGATCAGTTGAACTAAAATATTTGTTGAATTCAAAAAGGCAACTGAATACAAATGATTTCTGCAAAACGAAGATTTCAAAATGTTTCGTACACGCTATGTCGTTAATGTGGTATTTATTCAATGTCAGACCGCGATATTTCTTGAATGTGGAGTACAGGGTGGTCCAAGGTTGTAGGCGTTGGGGGCCACAATTTTAATTTTGTGTTGTTCGCGGGTCACATTAGTCTCAAGACATTTGATTATTATTTATCATGAATCAAAATTTTTATATCAACAATTATGTTGGTTGTTGAAAGCTCTGTCATCCTATGTTTCGTCACCCAATCTGTTCCTTTTATTAGATTTCAAACTCTTTACAACGGAGAACGTGTTTTCTTAAATGAAGTGCTCTCGAACATCAACTGTCCACTGACTGTCTCAGCTTTACCAGTCACAAGTAAAATCAAGTACGTTAGTGATGTGATAATGTGAGAAGATTTTTTCGGTGACATTCTTGAGGAAGCAATGCAAAATACTATTTTTTGATTATCACTAATTGTTACCTATATCAGCTAATGTGACGCGAGCCACGGATAACGATGCAGCAGGACACATGTAGCCCACAGACTTGGATTTGGACCACCCTGGTGTAGCATTTTCATTTTATTATATTTATAAATAGCAGTTTGACTTACGCCTCAGCTACCCAGCTGTCGTATTTACATGTTACATTTGAACAGTCGCAGGTACATTCATAATCTGGGCAGCAATTTGACTCTGTGATGGCTGTCTGGAGTCTTCTCTTCTGATAAGGAGATTCGCATGGATAATCATTCCTACAAATAAATAAATAATATAGATAAGTGATATTGAAGTAAGTTTCACTACCACAGAATAAGAATAATTCCAATTATTTACCATTTTGGACATTCGTCTTTCAAAATCTCATCGCTTTTGCATACACACTTCTTCTCAGGACAGCATCGGTGCGTTTGAAACTTGTCCTGTTCGTCCTCTAATACCATGTACTTCGGATCTTGACATGAAACTGTATTTATTTTCCAATTGCTACAAACGTCTTCTAACTTTTCATATGGCTGAGAAATATTTAAATATAGCTCAGTATATATCGCTATCCCATTTGACAAATAATGCCCAACTATTATCAAATGTTCCCAATTATTAATGAAATCAAAATGTTGCTGTACGTCTTTATTACATAAAATTTTTTAATTCTTTCTTTTTCACAGTTACCTTGCACTGACAGGTTTCTTTGTCACAACATTCCCCAGGAATTGGAGTTGTTGTTTTATTCTCAAATTCCTCATTGCAATCTTTTTTAGGACATGGAACTCGATTAACTTTATATTTTGGACAAAGTTCACCATCAACTGTAAAGAATACATATCAAATTATCAAATCCTTGTTCAGCAAACACGTTTGTTATATAAATGTTCAAACCTTACCAGCAACGCAGGTGTAGTTTTCACAATGATCATTGCCTTCAACAGTAATACCAATGTCAGATTCTCCAAGATCTCCATCAAAACATTTTGAACAAACACATTTTGATACGGGACAATCTTCGTTCTCGCAATTATTCGTATCATCCGTCTGTATTAGAAATCACAATATTTGGCGTCATCACTCAAATATTTTATATTTTATCTATTTTGTGCATAGATTTAGTAAAAGTAATAATGCATTCAATAATGCATAGTTAGTTCAAACATTCACAAGAATCGTTGCAATGAATTACCAACATAAATTATTTTGTTTTAATAAATGCATCAATACACAATTTAATATGTAACAAGTATCATGAAAATATTGGCAGCTATTTGAAGCAAAAATTGATTTTAATAAAAAAAATTAAGAAACCACACACTTTTACAAACACATTTTTTTATTGATATTTTGAATTGATTATGATTTAAACCCACCTCATAATTGGTTTGTACTTCTGCAGGATAACTGCAATCATCATTTCCAGGAGAGTAGTTATCGCTACAGGAATTGTTTTGACATCTGATTTAAAATTTGTTTATTTTTAATATAATAATTGCCTCATATAAAAGTAGGAGTACCGTATGTAGCCATGTTGTCGTAGAAACTCTTCTCATTAACTAAGTTTCTAAATTGAACAATGTGAACTGCATAAATTTTCCCTCACATAAAATTTATTCTGTTTATGGTGTAGTTAAAGAAAACGTTTTGAAATTTGTTGTGAGTAATATATTCGCAAAATTTGCACCAGTATAATTTCTTTATGCCTGTACCATTTTCCACTTGCTGAAACTTTTCCTGACCAAATGAAAGAAAGGTTCCCTATAATATTAGAATATTATAGAACCTACGTGTAAGATGGTACGCAATATTCTCCCCACTGACTCTTATCTATTGGTCGTCCCTCACGTGGAGATATTGTGCGCATAGTTTGATAACATTTGCATTTGGGAAATGATGGAGCATCCGGTGTCTGTGTAGTATACTTGTAACATCCATTTTCTAGTTTAGTGTTGGTACATGTATATAATTCGCATCTAACAAAAAAAAAATTGTTAGCAATGTAACACTGTTTATGCAAGACATTGGTGTAAAATTGCAAACCTAATGCATTTACCCGTTGAAAGAATATTTTTCATCTCCAATGGCCAAGCGGCTTCCATCGGACAACATGCATGAATCGCAAACGCAAATTTTGTGCGGACAGCATTCGTCAACTTTAGGGCAGTTGGCGTAATCGCGAATGGTCGAAATTGGTGAATTAATCGCTGAAGCGGTCACTAATTTATATCCAGCTTGGCAACTTTCTTCTGCGAATTCATCAATGCACTTATCTGATAAACATTCAACATCGTATGCAGTACCACAACATTCCTCCAAATCTGTCTCAGAAAATCCTGTAGTAATTCTCTGAAAATTGCAAAACAAAATTTAAATAATAGCTTTGAAAATGAAATTTGTTCAATTTTATTAAGTTGTACCGTTCATGTTTAATTCAAAATATTTTTATTCAGTTCTTTAATATTACTATTTTATCACCATTTATATAATAATCTAACTTTCCACCTTCATTCACCTCTATAATTCAGTGGGTCCCACACTTTTTAAGTCACGCCCCCTTTAAGAATTTGTCAAGTCTCGAGCTTCTCCTTAATAATAACTAGCTTACAATAATCTACAAATAACAGATAGTGAGGCGAAAGTATGTTTTATTTAAAAACACGTTGAAAATATGCGAATAGAACGTAAATATCTAAAATAAGGCGGACAAGACCAAATCAAACAAATCGCGCTCCCTCAAAAAATTGTTTACGTCAACTTTGTGGGGCGCACCCAACCGTTCCAGAATCACTGTACTATATTTTGAATATATAATTAAGAAGCTATAGCATCAAACGCTCATGACCATTTATTTATATTTTGTCAAAATATTTTTTGCCCAATTTTCAAATAGCAATGCAACAACTCACCTGTATAAAAGGGCAAGAATCTGTTGGATAATCGGGCATCGTACTCTGTATAGGATCACACGGAATCTTCCTACAAATTTGTTCATCGCAACAAGACCCATTGCAATATTGATCCGGATCGATTTTAGGTTTTTGCATTGTTTCAGTAAAACATTTTGGACAAGAATCGAAGTTTTGAGGACACTTTGTTTCATCACACACACAATCGTATCTTTCAGTACATCCGCATAATCCAGATATCACTGCGAAAGATTTATATAACATTAATTTGAATGGTTCAAAAACAAAACCTCCATTCTTTATTTAAATTCATTTGTTACTAATTAACCTATTATGGTGTTGTTGATCGCAAATCAATAAATTACAAACAAATAAATCAATAATGTGAATATCAACAAATTACGGATATTCTGTATTTTCTTCAAAATTTTACAGAATATTCTCTCTAATCTTGTTCTTTTGGCGACACTTACTTTTTCCAGTGCAACCGGAAGTTTGATCGCAAGAATTTTCTACTTGATCACACTGAGGGTCATCCGGGCATCTGCACTCATTTCGAAAGCATCCAGGTGTTCCACCATCAGTCGATATTAGAACTTTAGGTAAAACACAAGGCGGGTCGCTGACTGGCGTACACACACATTTCTTCTTCGCGCAACAGTCGTCGGGATTCTCCCCTTTTTCTAAAACAAGTGTTTCGTAGGATTTGCATACTGGGTCTTGGCAATCACAACCTAAAGAGAAAAAGCAAGATGATGTCAATTATATATAACTTCAATCAGAATAAAATAAAAGTTTTCTCTTTCATCACAATTGCCTATTGAATAGCCCATCAATTAATTATATCAGATTTGAACTTTTGAATAATTTCTTGAAATAGTTATGAAATAAATGGTAAGATTATATAAAGTGGTAGTGGTAGCTTGGTGGCTGGAAGCGTTGGACCCACAATTGTGACATTGTAGATCAAATATCTTGATCTCAAAAACCGAGCCCACAACCTTATTCTAAATATGTCAAATTAGGTGGATAATGTCATATCATAAAGATTTCTATCATATTAAACATTTACTAGAATATTGGTGACTGTGTATTTTGTAATGTTATTTAATCACTTTATCTTGATAGTGCGTTTGAATGCAAGTTCTAACTTGTTCCCTTTTGGTGTTATTCTGTTTATGCCACTTATGTGCCAAGAATATTTGTGATGTATTTCCTCATCTTCTATTCGGAACAATTAGGTTTTGGATTTTGCATACAATTTCATAGAGGTTAGAGGTGGGCAAAATTCTGGAAGTAGCTTTATTTAGTAGATCTTGTAGTTTGGGGTAATATACATAAAAAGGAATGTCGCAAATGAGTATTTGGTGTGCTGTTATAAATTATGACTAAACTTATAAATAATCAACAAAATATTTTTGCATCGTAAAACTCATCTGGGTAATTATTTAAATTAGATATAAAAAAAAAACTACACACATCTTTCTTCCACACATATATTGCTGTTTTCATCCTGTAGAACAGTGCCGTCGGGACAGGCACAGCCACTTTCATTTGAGGTTGAATCGCATTCTCTTTGTAACAGAGGTAAATTTTTATTTAAGCAGGTTCGCATGAGCTTGCATTCAGGCACACATTCTTCAAATTCTTGGCCTTCTGGACATTCTGTGCCTGATTTTATGATATTAAAAGATTTTATAAAAAATATGAGAATCAAACTTTGTTGTAGCAATTACTTTTTTTGTATAAATTCAAATTGGAATTGTAAAAATATTACGAAAAATATTTTTAAATCATGTATTGATACTTACTGCAATTGAAGTCTTTACGCCACTTCACACAGTTACATTTCTTTGCATATGTTGCGATTGCATTTGAGTCACAAACTGAACACTATAAATAAACAAATAAAAAGCGCTCAAATATACGAAGGCGAAAATCGAAGTGCTTTAAAAGTGTTCCAATGGATAAAAAAATGGGACGCAAATAACCGGATAAACATATTGATTTCTTACTTCAATTTGAAAAAAAATATTTTTGATTTATGAAAATATTTTTGGTCTAAATCTACTTACTTTTCTTGTTAATTTATTATCTTCCATACAAGAATCATAATAACTGTCGACTGGTATAGCGCAATTTGCAAAGATATTTGATTTCAACATTTCACATGAACTGTTGTTACAAGGTTTTTTACAGTAATCAGGTATGTCATTTTCGTGTCTAAAAATAAAACAAGATTTACACAATACAAATTCTAGAAATATAATCATAGAGGTTGTGTATTGATTATAGCTTGGTTAAGTCATAAATAAATTCATGCGTTTAGTCTGACGGCCGGAGTTCGATTTCACTATCAGGTTCAAATTGATTGGTGATAGGAAAATGAAAAAATATAAAACATATGACATAAATTATAAAATGCTGTTCTTAAATAATCTACACAAAGTAGGATGTATTCAAAACTGAAATTGTTATAATTCCAAGCCATACAAATCACTTAATAAAGAGTAGTGCTAATCTATAAACCAGCTGAAAACGTAGCATTGGCTGCCTGCTCAAAGTCGTTTTCAGACTTCAGAGAATATTTGAAGAAAAATTAAAGTCAGTCTTAATTTAAACCTTGGATCGGTACAATTCCAACATGCTTTGTGATCAGGAGGATTACATGGCAAGCACTCTTTGTCTGTTGCGTTATATTGCCAACTAGAAGTGAAATCTTCAAGATCAGTTGTGTTAGTTCCATTTTTTGTTTCAAAATCATCGTCCCTGGTATTAGAACACGTACCTACAATAAATATTACGTTGTTAATAAATAATAATATTCCATGGTAAGAGTTTGATAGTGCTTAATACTCTCCCTATAATGCTAAAATATTTGTATAAGAACATGTCCTAACACATTTACTGGATAAAAATAAAAACGAAAAAAAAAAGTTTAACGAGATAAACAATAATTTTTGTTAACGACACATAGGCCACACACTTTGATTATAGAATGCTGCAAAATTAACCTGTTGATTATAAGGAATCAAAAAGTAACAAACAGTCAAAAATTTGACATTCGTAAACGATCAAATTTATCAATATCAACAGTTCTCATTTGGTAAGAACTGAACCATAAGAAATGAATATTTAAGTGCCAAAGAATATCGGCATACATAATATAACTTCTATACCAAAATTTAAAATATAAAAAACTAAAATCTGTTTAGTATTCTTTCCATACATACCACACAACCCAACGGTTTTATTAAACCATTTTGTATCCATTGGTATTTTGATGAAAGTATAGCCTAGTTTGTTATGTCCCTTGAAATCGAGGACAAGATTGATTTCATCAATTTTCAGGCGAAGGTAGAAATCTGGCAATCTTGTGACTCTTATTCCACCAGAATCCAACGGCAAAGTTGTCACTCGTTCATCATTGAGATACATCTTGAAAAATAAATGTATACAATCAAAATTTTCTGCAGGTTTCATATCACTAAGCCAGAATATATTAGGATTATCATGTTTTACGAATCATAAGACTAAATGAAAGTGTTATAACGTGCACTGTCAATAAATTGCTTAGATCGGGTTTTCATTCATACTTGGGGGTTTTCATTCATACATAAGGCGCATCTGTCTATATAACGCAACGAGTACAAGTACTGCTTTTGATGGTACGCAATAAAACCTGATCTTGGCGCATTGACCGATAATGTGCATAATGGGTTTTTAAAAAAAAAGGTTTTAAGGTGCGCCCTATAATATGGTAATTGCACTTCGGTAATATAAAACATGGGTGGACAAAAATTTTGCTTTTATAAAAAGTATATATAATACAAAAATAATGAAAACCGGTCTCATTTTTAAATCTGATGCAGTTGTACATTCAAAAATGAAGAAAATATGTGAATAGTCCATAATAAATGTTTCAAAATACCACTCCAGAATCTCCAATTATTTATTTTATCTGTAATAATAAGGTTTACTAAATTTACAAAAAAAAAATGAGTAGAGTTTGTAATTATTAATATTTATTCAAAACGGTCCAAACTAATTAACTACCTCAAATATAAAAATATATCAATCAAAAATAACACATTCAAAATATATTTGAAGTATCTCTTTTTACTTATCGATCTTAAGATCGGTAAGTATGTTGATGGATATTTGTCTGTTTGTTTGTTTGTTTGTCTGTTAGATACACGCGATATCTCCCGAAAGCGAGGTTGAATCTGCTCCAAATTTTGCATGTGCATTCATCATAGTTCGGAACAGAAGCCTATTAATTTTCGATGAATTATGTCGTATGATTAGCGAGTTATTGATTAATTAGTGATGGGACACACGGTGTCACTATGGAGTAAGACCACTGTTTTGAGGGATTCCCTAACCTTCGGTCGATGAGTCTCCGGTTTCCAACAGAATTCTAGTTTTATAGGTTAATAGGTTTTCCTATATATAGGTTTATAGGTTTTCCTCATTTTCAATGAGGAAAACCGTACAAAATATTTATTATAAAGACCTGCTAACAATTAACTGATATTAACAAGAGATATGTGCTATTCAGATGTGCTATTTTTGATTAATATATTTTTGAACAATTGTACAACCCTTTATTCTTAGTGGTTCTAATATCTTATGTCACACTTTCACAAATTTTCATTCTGTAATACAAGATATTAGAACCATTCAATATAGCTGCTTTGATTGCCGCTACAATATCTTTGCAGTCGGTGTATACAGATACACTAACATACAGGAATGGAAAAAGAGACAGTATTTAAGAACACGCTAATGTAATCAACTATATAATCTTAAATTCTAGCACTTACTATATTTCCAACCGCAAGTACAACCTTTGTTCCTTTCCATATAACTATGATTGACTTCACGCAACTCACGTCTTGCACAGTGGGAACGCAATCTTGATTATCCCTGTACCAGACAGAAACAAAACATGGTTACAGTCATGCATTCACGAGAAATCAAAAATTTCCATGTTTAGGAAAATATATCGACGCGCTGGGCGATGGAGTCTCGCGAGATTTTGAATGATCTTGGGATTTGAAGGTTGAAACTGCTCGAAGATATTTGAAGCAATATCAGACATTAGGGCTTAATTCTATTCTTAAAGATTGATAGTCCAAACGATACAAGACAAATGCAAAACGCAGCGGTGTCGTAATTGTCAACTCGTCGTTTGTTTTGTTTTATTACTTTGCGTTTATTACTTCATCCAAGTCGTAGCAGTCCAAGGTTCAAGCTATTACATGGGTTACAGTTTTAGATGCACCTACTGCTTCGTTAAATTTTATTAAAATGATAATGTTTTATGAATAAGTTATATACGTGGTGTATTGAACTATATCAGAAAATCATGGCATTGACAACGCAATAGCATAAAAAACCATTGCAGATTAAAATTTGAAAATTGGAGATAAATAATTATTGACGGTTTCTGCTATGAGGAAATCAAACAATACATTTAATAGTAAAGAATGCAAAATGTGAAATTGGTGCAGTCTGTATTATCATAAAATATACGAATTTTCTCAAAAGTTGTGAGTCATTTTTCCTTCGGTTCACCGAAAGATTGTACAGGATCCTAACCGATCCTATTGTACTGAATCCTAACCGATACACACATACTATGTTCAGGTTGTGCGCCATCTTGGTGCCCATACTTCTGGAGGTTCAAATTATGTACATCACTGTATCATTGTTGCACGCTGTAATGTCGGTTGCTATGCTACCGGGTATACACTAGGCTAATGTCACTACATGAATATTAAACCAATACCAAATTCATTCGAAGTGTTCGAACTGGTTAGCCCTCGAGGAACTAACTCAACTTTGTGTTGTTAATTTTTGTACTTACGAGATTATCTCTAAATCGTCCGTATCTCGACTTTTTACAAGAATATAGTGACACATTCCTTGAAATGAATACCTCTTTCCGTCAAATGAAATATAGTGAGGGTCACCATATACCGTACACTCGCCTGGAAAATTGAGAATGAAATAATTTATCCCTATTTTGGAAGGAGAGTTCAAAAACGGGACGGGGAATAAATTTTAATGAGATTATATCGCTCACTGAAAAGCAAAGAATCTTCCTCGTGAGAAAATCAAATGCAGCCAAGTTGAACAATGTAATTGAAAACAAAAAAAGGTTGAATTGGTAATATGAATTCCGTTTTGACAAAAAATGAAAAATTTGCACCCACGATAGATTGGAGTGATGTGTGAACATTGAGACAAATTAGTGTCTCAAAGACTTTTTGTATGGTCAATACAATACTATTATCTTCCAAAACTATTATCTTCTGTAAGGTTCTCAACCAAAACATGAGTTTACAACCAGGTGTGAGTTCAAGTTGGGGGTAAAAATTAATATTGATAGTGCTTAAATGGCATGTATGTGAATTCAACGCAATCAGTCAAGCATCCACGTTCACAATTATCAATTAAATTTTTTTTTTCAAGCCAAACTTGCCCCATAATCATTATAAATTTTTTGTAGATAAAAAATGTAAAATATTTGAGGGGGAAAATTACTTTTGAAATTTATAAAAACTTAAATAATGGAATAATGAAGAACCCCTGAGCTGAAACGTAATATTTACATTAATAAACTGTACTGCGAATTTGATGCACTATTTAAATCATTTTTTTTAACACATTACTAGTATAAACGATAATTTAAAAGAAAATCTTTACATTTGCATTGATGAGTTTTACAGCATCCGGAATCATCAAGAATTGAAGGGTAATGAGTTACTTCATTGTTCGTGCACGGTTCGCTTGGGGGACATTTAATTTCGTCCCGTCGCACTATTTCGCACGCAGCATCACTACATTCGCAGTACTCGTCATAACAATTTTGGATATTTATCAGAGAACCATTCTGTTGAACAATTGTACACGTTTTAATTCAATATCACTACGTAAATATCACGAGATCATTGCTCAATAATAATAAAACTTAAACAAAACTATTCTATACAATTGAAGAATTCTACTGCACACTAACATAAATGTATTTCTGTATCATTTCGTCCGACCAAAGTCAGACTTTCTCGGACAAGCAGTTTACAACTATTTGAAGCCTGTTTTTTTACGGACAAAACGTTAAAGAAATGCATTTATGTAGATGTGCAGAAGGATTCTTCAATTGTATAGAATAGTCATGACTATTCCTGCTACAGCATCCTTGCAGTGTACTCCATACGGATCCACTAGCATAAAGACATAGAGGACGGATAGGGAGTAAGTCTTGCGCAACCCAACTCAAAGTGAATAACACTACCTGTAATTTCATTATATGCCGTTGTTGATGTGCTGGATTGCCGCAATTTAGTGCAGAAATTACGGGTGGCAAGACTTCTATATAAATCTATCAATTCCAGATACTACAAAAGTATTGCTCTTGAGACACTTCTGTTTAATACTATTCGAATTTGAGTGGTGTGGTAGTCGGGGGAAAAATCTATTTTAGTTCTGAACAACAAGAATCCCGTGGGGAACATCGTATCCAATAGGGAAATATTTACCGCGTATTCTTTTCCATTGTATCGGCAAGTTGGCAGACATTCTTCGACTCTACAGCAGTCATTCGACAAACCCTGGTTGATTCTTGAACCCGCGAAACACGATTTCTTTGTTGGACAAAGAGTCGAGTTGCATTCACAACTAAATTATTGAATTTATGTTTGTTTTCAAAGTTTTTGAAATTATTTCAAATACATTCTGTTCTGCTATTTTCAGAGCTTTTATTTTTTATTTTTTTTATTTTTATTTAATGTAAATTTTAAATCAGCACGAGAAAAAAACAAAAACGTGCTGTTTCATTCAAAACGATTTTCTACTTCTATATGTTATTAGGTAATATCCTATTTCTGTATCAATAGCCTTTACACATTGAATAAAAATCTAGCATATATAAATTGAGTTTTGATTCATGTACACATCGACGAGAAAATGAAGCTCAGTGTCAATAAATATCTTGTAAGCATTTATCATATGAAAACAATTGAAGTCTCACATGTATTTAGTACAACACTCTCCAACAGTTTTCATCGTTTTTATACTTTCGTAAAGTCTACAATTTGATGGTTTTTTGCAATCCTGTCTGTAGTCATAATATTTCTCAGGTTCGCAGGTACTTGGATTACAACGCTTAATAAAACAAATAGTTTGATAAGTCATTATATTTCAATCATGTTTTTACATATTTTGGTTTTGGGTATCATATTTTTTACATGTGTTATATTAAAAAATGGTCAAGAACCGTGCAAAAAAATATACACTGATGATATCAAACATTAATCAAACATCGGGTGTCATTATTTTTAGGTGGAATGATATTAAGGGGCATTAAAATTTGTGTATCTATAAGATATATATTTCAAATCCATTCACTATTTGACAACTCTCCAATGTAAAAAAAAAAGTTTAAAGTTTCAAATTTCAAAAAATAATGTTCGCGCAAAAGCTGCATATTTTATTAGTACGTAAAACAATTTGTTATCTGAAACATACCATTTCGGTACACCCATCATCTTCCTTCCAATAAGTCCCCACATCATACGACTTGTCTCCAACAATGCACCTTGCACATTGGCATTCTGTACAGCAATCCACAGTAACCTATGATATTTAAAATAACCCTAATATGATTCTAAACTTATGAACCTAAGCAAAAACGAATCATTATCAATTTTCAATGCAAGATACGAAGTAAACAGCTCCAAACAAAATCCACTCGAGTTATAGAACAAAGTGACAGCAAACAAAAGAACTCTATCAAAGATACATATTATGGAATATTGGATTATTCTTTAAACATTAATTGCAATATACTTTTAATTGAATAACTCTAATTAGATATCGTTGATTTGTGAGGCTGATATCTAAACTTGAAAAAACTTCTCAGAAATTTTGAATCCATGATTAAATACAATAACCGAAATTCGGCAGAAATAATATTGATTTTGTGTAAGATGTGGGGTAGCATATTGAACCTCATCTTCCTGTTCCGTGCAAGTTACATCTGGACATGTTCCTGAAACACTAGTCACGAATGCACAATTGTCTTCGTTTAACTTGCATTTGTAGTTCAAACAGCTGAGATCCCTCGATTCATTGGCATTCTTAGAAAATTAAAAAAATACACGGTTACTGAACTCATAAATAATTAAAGACAAAACGTCAATAATATCCGATAATAATATTGAAACCAATGTACGTTTTTAAAAAGGAGTGATTAAGTTGGAGCAATGCTTGAATATATGAAAAAGAAGATCGGCCATTGGTACCGGTGCGCCATAAGCTTGGAGTTGCCTTAAAAGATAGGTGGACAGGCGTAATAAATTTTTTTTAGTCTTTTACTAAATAAAATGGCAAAATTTCGGGTGAAATATCGGTTCCTTTGAGCACCGGGAGAAAATTTGATATCAAAATAATAGGGTCTGTAGAGTTTTTCCAGTTTAAAGAGTACGCAAAATTGTAAATATTTTCGAAATCAGATTCGTTTTAACATCAACACAGGAAAGATGGAAAATAGCAATTTATCAAAACTATTCCTAGATCAAATTTGTATTACAGAAGTTGCCGACTCACCAACACATATGTTGTATCATCAAACATAATTGTGCAAACTGTCTCGCATGTTGAGGCTGTCGTCACTGCCGTCGTTACTAAAAGAGTGTAAACAATAAACATTTTCTCGATTATCATTAATATCCATTTTTTTTCGTTCATATAATACATGGAAACTTATTTTGACTTCTTGTTCGTAATTTTCTTGTTGTACTGGCCTGATTAAATTTTTAAATACTTTATAACAACAATTTAGGTATGTAATAGAAATTTCTTCTACCTTCAGAAATTGGGGAAGTTGTTGTCGCCATCGGCGTAGTGACTGAAATCAACAAATCAAAGAAGTGTTACAACTATTATATTTTATTGAAAAGTTTGCTCACGAAAAAGATTACCACAAAAATTTTATCGTATATGAATAAACCTTTTTTTTTACTAGAATAAACTTAAACATATGTTGTATCATCAAATATAATTGTGCAAACTGTCTCGCAAGTTGAGGCTGTCGTTACTGTAAGAGTGTAAACAATAAACATTTTCTCGAATATTATTGATAACCATTTTTTCTCGTTCATATAATATATGAAAACTTATTTTGACTTCTTGTTCGAAATTTTCTTGTTGTACTGACCTGATTAAATTTTTAATTAAATACCTTTTAAAAACAATTTAGGCTCGAAATATTTTTTACGTTCAGAGATTGTTGTCGCCATTGGCGCAGTGGCTGAAATCAACAAATCAAAGAAGTGTTACAACTATTATATTTTATTGAAGAGTTTGCTCACGAAAAAAGAAGGATCACCACAAAAATTCTATCATACATGAATTAATCTTTTTCCACTAAAAGAAACCTAAACAGCACTAACCGGAAATAAAGCCAGGTGTCGATATCATTGGAGTTGTTACTGCATGAAATAGAAATGGACTTGAGTTATGTTGTAAATACTGTAATTTACTGGTATTTACGTGCGACATAATTTGTAAATCAATATCGGTATCTGTTTACAGACCAGCTGCACTTAACGCATAAGTGGGCAAGGTTTTCAGACCAAAGGCCGAAATTTTCGCTCACTTAGACTGACGGGCCATGTAAGTGTGATGTAGAAGGTTACATTTTATGAACAATATTTACAGTGTTACAAAAGCAAAAGTGGAGAACAATGAGCCACGTGCCAAAAACTAAAAATAATCGAAATCTCTATAAATTCGTTGAGCTTTTTTTTAGCTAAAACTTGGTTTTAGATTGATTGTGGCAGCATCAGGGAGCCAGATTGAATTACCCAACGGGCCGTATTTGGCCCACGGACCGTATTTTGCCCATGTATTATATGACAGATGATTGATAGTGCTAACGTGCTTAAAATCTCACAACAATAAGTGCAGTAATATGTTGTTACTTTATTAAATTCCGCCTTTTATCAGATGAACCCTGCTTCTTCTCTATAGATATTAACATTTACAGGTGCTATAGTTTACATAAAAAACATTGTATAAAATATATAAATTACCTGTCGAATATGCCATGGTGAAACTAGTAGTCGAAACTGGGGCTGTCACTAAAATAAAAGTAAAATGTTGTGTTTACACAATATTCTTCTAACAAAGTGTTTCCCAACCCATGAGTCGCGACTTTTATGGAAAAAATCGAAAGTTACTTATGTATTTTGTAGTAAATTTTATTGTTCATTTTATATTTGGAATTGGAGTGTGGCTCAATAGTAATTGTATATATGGGAAGTATCACAGCGCGAGAACTTGACAGCATCTATTTTCTTAAAGCAACGCAATGATTTCAATACCTCGCTGGTGGCATATCATCTCACTAGTGCGAGTTAGAAAGTTTTGTTGAAATAAATATTATGCAAAATGATTGTTTTGCTTTGGTAATTTAATTCTCTGGGTTGGGAACCATGGATCGAACATATACATTTATTGCTTTCTTGTCATTTTTCACTTGAGTTCGATATTTTATCACATTACTGTAGTGTGTTGCAGTGTATGTTTTATATGTGCCAATGTCAACATGGATCTCAAAAAATCCCTATTTACATCAGAGAGGTAAAATTAAAAATTCGCAGTATTTACCTATTTTTGTTATGTTGTAATGGCATTCGGTGCAACTGTTCTCGGATACACAATTTCGAGTTTTTGGATCAAATACCAAGTCTTCATCGCACCTATAAATGTATCAACAAGATTTATTCCAATATGTATTGAGACAATAAGATTTCTCGTCAACGCTTGAAATGTTGTTCAAAAACTCATCGTCATTACTTAGGCTAAATTTGATATGACGTGCAATTTAATCACTGGGATGAAATCTTAAAATTTAGTCGATTTGAATTTTAGATCACAAATTGAGAAACCTGTGTTTTGAAGCTTACTTGGGAAAGCATCCCTCGAAACAACCTCTGGTACAACTGACGCAGCATGTTTTGACGCAATTGTGACATACATCGTACTTTACATCGCACAGATCGCCGTCAGGATCAGTAAATTCCTCACATTCGACAGCTACAAAAATATAAAGTGCGAATATGCAATAGGCCAAAACAAATACCTGTTCTAAATATTCCATCGCTTTTCATATTAGGTTTCCAGGAAAATGGGATATTACAAGAAAACATTATATAATAGATGAGCAGCAACAAGTTACCTATAACGTAACAATAAAAATTTAGCAACTGCTTTTCACTTCAACGCAAAGAAGCAAAGATCCTCATAGCCAAAGTTCGGATAAACGGGCTGACAAATTCTACTCTGGCCCGTTCGTAACTGTACCCGTTTTTCTTAGTAGAAACTGAGAAAAAATTAACTCGGCTAAAAATCAAATGGAATAGAAAATGTTTATTTATCTTCTATGAGCGCATCATTTTTACAATTAATGACTTGCTATAATCGTTTAATGTCTATTTGTTTACCAGTAACAATACAAGCAAAAACTTCGCCCAAAAAATTACTCCTTTTCATTTCAATCTCAATATTTTAATTCTAGAAACTAGTTTAATAAAAATATTAATGAACATACGGCAACTTGTTAAAGGTCTCCAATTAGCCTTGGCTCCTTTACGTCCACAAGCGTTAGCGTAGGCAGCCACAGAACTACAAAAACAGTCGCAATCTGTGTCAGCTGTGCATGAACAGGTTTGCTCAACACACGTCTCGTAGTATTCTCGAACATCAAGCTAACGTATGAAAAACAAACAGGAATGAAATAACAAAATTGAAAAAATATTACAGATTTATTTGTTGGAATTTAGAGTGGACATGAGTCACCTATCAATTATTTAGAGTTATATGCTTAAAACTAATATTCAGTACAATTCCCCGAATCCCGTGTTGCATGTCAAGTCGAGTTATGTATTTCTGAATTTTCTGTTGAATCTGAGTCCCAGTAAATATATGTCTGAATAAGTCAAGTTGAGATAATTCTGAGGCGGATATCTTATTTAGAAGATTGCCCTGGTAACTTCCGACGATGCCTATATTTGTAATTAAAAAAAACTGCTCCTACTTTAATTCAACCTATTTTCAGTTATTATTGTAATATCATCGTAAGTTTTACCACAATAAATGCAAACTTTAAAAAACATTTGAAATTTTTTTCGTCATATAAAAAACATCTGCCAAGTCTATTTAAAGCTTTTGCCCTGAAGTTCAGTCGATGGTCGAATATTTAGAAAGTATACTTATAGATTTTAGGTATAGACTAAAATTTGTGTCACTAAAACATTGCAATAATTTATTAGAAATGAAGAGAATTATGTATATTAGAACGAGTTTCATTTTAATGAAAATGTTTTTAAGGTTATTCAGATAAAAAGTTAGTTGTTGGTTTGCAAAACTAAGGTGTGACATACAATTGAGTGGCATTTGCTGAAGAGAGAACTTTTCATAATGTTGCATTGTTGTTTTGCCTTCTTTTCAGCATGTTCATTGTCCTCACAAGCTGTCTTTTGTGACGGCATAATGTCGGCGCAAGATTGGTCAATTTTGTGCGAATTCACGAAACCGGCAGAATCCGTCAAACCAAAATCGTTAGAGGCTGAATCGTCGAGATTACCACAAAGACCACACAGGGGTCGTTGATCCTTAAAATAATTATTCTATATGCTTTTAAAAGTTCCACACTGCATTTTTGCAACCTATTTATTCACATAAAACTATCAAATATCGTGATTTGGGAAAATCTTTATTTAAAATATCATTACAAAAATAAACAAATAAACGAAGCAATAAAATTTGCTCACACTCGACTTTCAACAAAATAGTGTGTAATTTCACGCTTAAATTAAGACACTAAAAATAAAATAAATTTAAAATATAAGAATGCTTCAACCTTATTTTTTCAATTCTGTGCACTTACTGTTATGTTTCTGGATACTTCGATATTAACAGATGTTTTATTGTCATAACTGATTTGAATATAGTACTCCGGGAAATCGAATTCTAAAACTTGGTGAAATCCAAGTCGCAATTTTTTTAGTTTTGGATTTCCATACACAGATGAAATTTTTGAAGCAGGCAGTTCATGCATTGGCTGATCTCTTGACAAAATGAATATTTGATTCTGAAAATAAATACTTATATCGGTATTTGAATACAGATGAAGGAATAGGGGCAATTTCAGAATTAAACAAAATGGAACTTTTGGCGATGTAACTTTTGACTTTCTGTAATATTAATAAAAAACACTGGCATAGTGTTAACTACATTGATGAGACATTGCCAAGTAGCATGGTAGTTTTTCCAGATCAGACATCGCTTAATTGGTTCTCTGTTTAAATTTTTATTCTATTTTTATTTTTATGATATATGATATGAAATGTATGAGTTGAAATGTAGTCGGTTGTTTCTAAAAGTAAACCCCAAGATATCCTATGAATAACCTTGCGGTAATAACAAGCGATAGAGCCACATATAATTTTGTAATGATAATTAAACGCAATCATATAAATTCAGACATCAAAGTTTTCGTTGTTAATATTGAAAAGATTTAAAAATGGTTCACCCCAACTCTGATATGCAATGATATGTTACACATTGTATGTTCACTATCTTCACATAGATAACTTTTTATCCTGATATCAAAGAAATGTAAGTTCTTTGATGCTGTTGCATTCCCACAATCATCCGACATGAGTTGATAAGTACATGTTCCCTTTGAATGGAATCGCTTCTCATCGAATGTTTTATAATAGGCTCCGCTGGTTACACTACAAGTTCTTGAACACATTGTAGTTCTTTTGCAATCCCACATACCTTTCTTACAAAAACTGAAAGTGAGAATAGTTTTTTTAATTTAGGCTCAAATGTTAAATATGTAAGTTACAGTTTTATTAATAAAATATTAAATAAAATAGCTTTCTATTCATTTCATAAAGTGTAAAAGATATCGAGGTAACCACTTCGTCATTGAGGTATAACTGTGGTTTGTACTATAGTAATACCAATGACAAAAATAGCCATTGCTATAATTGTTATTTTGAATTAACAGGTATTAAAAGAATTGATCATTGGAACAATAAATTTATATATGAAAGCCAATTTTTTACAGAATTATACATGGACATATGTAGTTCAATAATATTAAATGGGATTTTCTGCAGCTGCTTACCAATGATCACAATCATCTATTACATCTTCCCCATCTTGATATGTCCCACCTTTAAAATGGCAGGGACAGTCTTCTTCGTTTATACATTTTCCTTGATCATACAGCGTTCCGTTCGGGCACACACAACCTAAAATTAAAGTCATTCAAATCGATATTTCACGTAAATAGAAGGTCTTACTCTTGTTGACTGCTGTACACAAATACAAAGATATTGACATTTTAAATTTAAAATATTTATTCAAAAGATTTCAACAAATACCTTGTACACATTCTTCACAATTTGTTGATTTTTTTGAACATGTTGGTTGGCATTTCCCACCCTCACAACGTGAATATACCATGTCTCCCGTACAGTTCATAGCTGGAAAATAAAACGGTAAAAATGGTAATATTGGACACCAATTGTACACATGGATCAGAATGATAAATTGCTGTTCTTGTCAATGTTGTGGCCCTGAATAACAACACAAATCGGTTCCAAACGTTCAACATTTGAAGATTGGAAAAATTGCCAAAAAGCTATTACTTTTTGACTTCATTTCATTTTATATATGATATAATATCATCCCAATTTTACTGTTTTGTTTTAGTTCATAGAAACACTTTATACATGGGATCTTGGTATTCGTCATGCTGCACTATCATTTTTCCGACAAACCCGGGTAAAATGACACGTGTAGGTCGTTAAGTCTCCTGATCTACCGCGGTCCGTCATTTGACCTTCGTATATGTCCATAAATTTAAGCATTCTTTTTTTTTATAATTAAACTAATCAGGTAAAATTGGTATAATGCGGGAGTTACGACAAGAACAAAATCAAAACGAGAATATCGGTCAGAGACCGAAGACTCGATCGAAAAGTAGGTGATCCCCCAAAACAGCGCTCTTACTCCATAGTGACACCTTGTGTCCTAGCAATAATTAATTAATACCTCGCAATTATACGACATAATTCATCCAAAATCAATAGGCTTCTGGTACGACATATAATTAGTGCACATGCAAAATCTTGAGCAGATTCGATCTCGCTTTCGTGAGATATCGCGTGAATGTAACAGACAATTACCTATCAACATACTTACCGATTAAAATCGATAAGTAATGATAAAAGTAGCTAATATACATGTTACTACTTATATATTATCACCAAGGGCCAGTAATTATATTAAGTAACAAACACTTACATGGTCCAGTGCAGGTAACTTTGCCATCTTTACATTCGCTGTAAAATATCAATTTCTCATTGAGTAAACTCACCAAAACGTGTACACAAAATTATTCTGTGGCAACTTCAAAGATTTATTGAACAAAGTAACGCGTCTTCTTCTCGTGTAAAAACGTGTGTTTCAATTTTTACGCGATGTTTTTATTCTCACATTCCAAATATAATTATAGACAAGGAGTGCACGAGGTAGGCCATGTGCCAAGGTCTCAAATGATTTAAAATTAAATTTTAAACCTTAACAAAAAGTTGCTAGTACTGTTGTAATATCACCCCTTCAGATTTATTCCAATTGAAGTTAAAATTATGAAAACAAAGTTGATTTTTTTCCTTTAGCTTCCAGTAACATGTTTCGTCTTATCATTATCAAATTAAAATGAATTGATATATTTAGACTTAAGTTGTCATTCGTAGGACTTACATAATAACTCCTATTGAGTTAATAAGAGTTTCTGTTAATTAATGACGTGAATCACGAGATTACACTTCCAATATTAATTCGTTGTTTGAACAACGTGTATATATATATTATATACCGTTCAATATTTTTCAATGTTATTCTAGTCTGGGTGATGAGTTATAGGTTTGTATTCTGTGTATCGTGGAAAACTACAAATAAAATGAAATGAAGATTTTTCAACGTCTTTTCATTCACGCAGGTGTTGTCGTTGAGAGGGAAGGAGGGGGCTTCCGAGTAAGAGTCGGTCAACGAAGTTTATCAAATTCTGGTCTGTCAATCTTGGGACATGCTATCTAATTCGCATATGATTTTGACTGTGTTTGTTGGTACAAGTCAGTTCACAAACTTGGGACAAACTTTTATCGGTCTAAACTCAAGTCAGACTCAAAAAATTAAACGAATCAATCAACATTCACTGTCTACCCTTATCTAAACACTACACTGCTATGCCTCTATTCGTCTTTTTTCTCTATTCTATCTCACATTAAAATATTGTTGTTTTTTGGATATGAAAATATGTTAGAATGCTTTGACAAAATTGTTATGTTAATATACTCCATGGATTTTGTTCGTTCAATTCGCTCTAGAGTCTAGAATAGATTCTAGAAACTATTTTATTGCTTAGGTATCTTAGATGAGACTTTTCAGATGAAATACTTATTCCAAAAAAGAGAAAATCCAATAAGACGATTTAATCACGCGGTGTACTACGTCTTGCCCGATAACAAGCCCATTAAGGGTATGGGATTTGTTCACCAATAATTTGTTTCAGATGGATTGGCTTAATGATAGAGAAAGCCGTAAACGACCAGCAGCTACGTGAACCCACTACGGCGGTTAGGAGTAAAGAAATCCTTTCACAAATAACTAATTCCTACATGATTTGAACGCAGGGAAATTGAAGGTATCAAGTGTATTGCTAACGCTGAGCGCGATGCGATCAATAAATTATTTTATTGCACATACCACGAGTCTTTGCCAACATCAAAGTATTCTTCGGGTCGACGCCATGCCTCCTGGAAATAGCATCCACATTGACTTATTTCAACGCAATTTCCATGTGTGTCTTCAAATTTTCCTGCAGTTCAATATAGTAAACAGCATTTTACAATTCTGCTCGTGTGCGCGCGCAGTTTTATTTTTTACTGTATAACATGTAGTAAGGGTATTCACAGATGGATCATATCTTTTCAGAAAATCTGGTATACTGAGGCTAAGCTATATTTATCGATGCTCTACCCTCGTGTCCCTATATTGGAAAATCATTTACTAAACAGGCTGGATAAAATCACCAGACTTAATTTGTAATCTTATCTTTAAATTCTCAACAGGGTAGAATCATTACAACATTAATTAATCAATTACACATCAGCAATAATCTAATTTGGACCAAAGCAAAATGCCAATTATTGATAAGAGATGTAGAAATCAAACATCTGTTTTTTAGATGTTACTATTTTTAAAATTATTATTTCCAAACTGACCAACTATGTGATAATGTGGAAATTATATCGTTGTGGTTCAATGCAAAAGTCAAAATCTTCCATCTTTAGGAGACGCCTTACAGATATAGGAAGAATACTATTAAAATACGTAGAATAATGCGATAATTATTTACACTTTGTAGTTTTATATAGCTCATGCTAGGGAAAGTCTGTCACATGTTTAGTCGTCGAGAAATTGATAAGAAAAACACTTCATTAACTCTTATGACTTATATGTGACACTTTATCTCTGACAATTTTTATCTATACCTTCAGGGCAGACACATCCTTCCGCTTTAAGTGTAGTGGTGCAGGTTTCAGTATCACTGAGTCCTATACATGTTCGTCCACATGATGTTGTCCATGGCTCATATATTTCGCCTTTTGGGCATAATATGGCTGACAAAAAGAGAGAAATATGAAACAAAAACGAAATAGAGAGAGAGGAAAGTGATGGTAAACAAAAGATGAAATGCAGAATATTAAATTTTCCTCATATACACTTACGCGAAAGTAGTATTAATCTCAAATCTGTAGTTAGTAATTTCTATTTGTTGTTCTCTTTATGATAGATAGGTTTTAAAATGATTGTATAGTTTATTCATACTCTGACCAAGAACATATTGCAATATCCTATTTGCTTGCAAACACAATGCTTCAGATGTTAGCATAAAACGTTCCATGCAAAGGAAACTGCTTTCTCTATTTTCAGGTTCACTTAGTAACCAATAAAGAAACACATTAAAGGCTTACGGCAAAGATTTGCACTCCTCCAATCTACAATGAAACCTTGCATTGCACACATTGTTGCAAGGACAGCTAGTGATGAACAGACCATTTCTTCTTTTTGCGTCTCAGATGTGGTTGAGCATAAAGATGAGCGACAGAGCTTAAAGATTTCATCTGCGAATGAGTTGGTGGACAAACAGCGTTCAAATGCATCTGTTTTATGTATTGCATTGTGACATCTTGTCTCTATAAATGAATAAATAAATAAAAAATTAGGTCATAAATTGCTGAAATAGATATTAAAAAAAAAACTAGAAAAACTGTTTTTAATGTTCGACTGAAATATCAAGAAACAGATGCTTGAAATTGCAAGAAAGCAATACATAAATACATAATCATGAATGTCAGGGGCCATATCAAAGTGTCACCATGACTTATAAAAAAAAAGTGTTTTCTGTGAATTAAAATAAAACAGCAACGGGTGAAATATCCGATACCATAGAAAAATTGGGTTCAGAAAAGCGATGTTTTATCTTATCACATCAAAGATTTAGTACCACAATTCATATATACACTTCACTCTAGTTTAATATTAATTTGTTATGGGAATATTGTTTCTAGTATTTCTACTTACTGTCTTCATTTATTGGAATACAATCTTCATTTCCGGAAGGAGGTTGTTCGTTGCACATCGGGTCAGTTCTCCACGACTCCGCAAAACTGTTGAGTGTTTCAACTATATTATTACTGCTTGTGTAATCGTCATTTGTTTTAGAATTGTAATTTCCCAGCATGCCACGAGGTTTAGCTGAAATTCAATATTGAAGTGTTAGTGTAAACTTGAAAATCACAGTTTAAAATTATGCTTGAATTGACCTTCCTTATAATTTCGGTTGCCAAAAAAGATACATTTTTTTTAACATTAACTATAGCGAGCTAGTAGTTAAGCAATGTACTCACACTGTAAAGAATTATCCAAATCGATCAGAAGAATGGGGCCGATGCTCCATCGGATTTCAATCTTCGACTTCACAACTTTTACAACTACTGTTGTTGAAGTTATCTGTTGAATTTCTAGTAGGCCGTCTGTGGATACAGGTGACGTTATGAATTAATACCAAAAATATCTAATGTTTATAATGCGAATGACTTTTTCGGTATATTATTATTTAATTTTTCGAAACCAATAGAGGTAAGTTCATTTTTTATTTTCAACACAGATAGGCCCCTTTAACGAAAACAAGAAGGACTTTTTCGGTTGCTGACAGTTAAGGTTCTAGTTTCAATTCATATTTATACGCTGATAAATAGTACTACAGTTTTTATAGTGAGTGAGTTGCTGTTGATCGAATAAAGATTGTCGTTCAAAAGCTAAGACCAGTGGTTTTAAATCTTCTCAGTGCCCCAATTTGATGCGGATACCCTGGTGGTTTTCAACGGAATATAAGTGAACCACATTTGCATGACCATTTTATAGTCGTGTATTTGATTGTATCCAAATATTATACATATTCTAATATAGAATATTGGTCGGCAAACTGCAGCCCGCGGGCCGGACACGTTTTTCTTAGTTGTACTTAACGCAAAAACTGGAGTTGCGGATGCGTCATAAAGTTTGATATCGGTTGTTTTTTAAAGCGGAAATTGAAGTGAACCCACACGCTACTGGAAATACGTAAATTTGGCCCAGAAGAACATAAAGTTTGTCGACTACTGATACAGGCTCTTGAATTTGAATGTAAACTGTAGAACATATTAACCATAGTGGCTGAACCCGAGCTTTCCACGGAATCCTAATTGAAAACCATGGACTTACAAGCATATACTATTATATTAACTATAAAATGAATAAATACAATTTTAGTGTTTATTCACCCAGGTTCGTTGTCGTAGCTTCAGATACTTAACATTGATATCCTAAGTTTGACACTCGAGATTGTATTCGTATATCATCGTATATAAGCCGACCTCTAAAATGGTCCTAAGACGTGAATTTATGAAAATTCGCATATGAGCTGACTCTAAAAATTGTAATACGTCGTACGCACTTATCACAGACAGAAATGTCCAATTTGAATTTAATATTCAAATATTACTTCGATACCGTTTTAGTGTTTAAAAGGATATCGAAAATCTCGCTAACATTCTAGCTAGCCTGTCTCCACGTTTTATAATTATAATATTTTATGTTTTATTGTAACTGAAAACAGTCTCCTGCCGCCAACAGAAAAGAATTTGAATCATGCCGATTTGAAGTACTTATAACAGGTCGAGGATATTTTTGATTGAAAATATTTTACAACATTCATGTATATTTTAACATTGTCGAGATATCCTGGGTGACCACGAGAAAAAAATCTAAACGCAAATTGTGTCGCAATTATTTGTTTTCATCCTCAGTTTCGATAATGACCAAGCATGACAGGAAATTTTTAGCATTTCTTGCATTTTAAAGCCTATGAAATAGCTCTTAATTAATAATATGTAGTATTTATCACAGAATTTATTGTTAGCCTGGTGCCGTTAAAGACCATAATATCGTTCAGTTTAAGTTTGCGGTATTGAGTATTTATTTATAAAATGTCATTTCGTTTGAGTGCGATCAGAGTTAAGCGCGTATAAGCCAACCCGTTTGTTTGTAACTCTTTTTTTCGAAACTTGAATATGCTTATATGCGGGGATATACAATAATTTTAATGTAAGTTCTTCTTAATTATGAGTAACTGGTGAAGAATACCCACATTTTTGATACGGTAGCTTTACCGGTCTGCCTTCTATCTCAACAGAGCCATCTTTAAGCAATTTTACTCTCGGAAATAAGATGGAAATGATTGTCGCATGACTGAAAAACAATATTTTATAGAGAATTAGTTGATTATATATGATAACAGATGGAATTATCGAGACTTGTTTACTCAAATAATCATATCGTAACAAAAAAATACTATTAAATTTTATAACAGAAATATTTTATTGGGTTACTGAATGATAAGCTGTAAAAAAAAATTTTGCAACTTTATTTGTATCAAAATCAAACTTACTCAATGCATGTGAAATCTGATTCCATTCCACATTTAACGACGTCGAGTACAACTTGTAGAGAATCCGGTAGTTGAACAACCACGTATTCACATACGCCATCGTATGGGTAAACCAAACCATCAAACGTGTAATAATTTGGATTCCCATATACCATTCCGTAATCTATAGTTTACAATGGAAAATAACACAACAAGGATTAAAATAGGCTTCCACGTTGATGCACAACATCGCTGGAAAGCCCAGGACACAGAATAATATTTGATCACATTATGCCTTCAACCTGAGATTGGACAATTTATTTATTGAAAGTTATAACTGTTAAACCTTACCATCACACGTTGTCTCTTGACAGTCAAATACTCCACCATTACAAGTGCTGAAACAAAAACACTCTGGTTAAAATGATCTCTCGATCAATATAAAAAATATTAAAAAAATGAACATGCTATACGTCTATAGTCTATGCTATTGTTTTAGTCAAATAGAAATTGGTATTGTTCATGGGTTTAGTATTACTATCTTGTATGTATGTGTGTGTGTGTCGTAATAGTAAGAAATATTAATGAGACGGGATGCATACACAGGACCTACTGGCCTAAAACACAAATGTGCAGCATGCACTCTTTTTGACAAATATAAAACAAGAAACCTTAGATTAAATACGTATACAGATATATTATACAGAGAGTTGAGCAAAATCGGGAGATGGGGCTCTCCATCTGTTGATTAGTGATGTACAAATGGAATTGGCACCTACTACGTTATTAACACATATAAAATATATATGAAGTTATATAATCAATATTTACCAAGTTTTACACGATTCTGGTAAAATGCTCCCGTTGGTATACTTTTGATCTCCGATATAACAAGAACATGCCTCCTGTTTAACGCAATCTTCTCCGTCGAGATATAATCCTGATTTATTAAAATATTTCAAGAAAAAATGCAGTTACGTACATAATATAGCACCGAACACTACAGTTCAATATTACAGTACGATTGGCTATAGAACTCAAAATAAAAGTATTCACACATTCGAATCAGCTCAATTTTAACTAACGTTTTGTTTGATAATTTATCGCCCTTCATGGCTGAAATTGTGCATTAAAGTTACAAATTGAGAACAAGTCATAAGTTTATATCTACATACCGTCCGGGCAGGTACATCCATCTGAACAACCACCTTCGCATTCACTCGCATGCGATTTTATATGTTTGCAAGTTTTGGGACAAAACGAAACGCATTCACTGTATATTTGATTTGACGGGCACTCTTTTTCTAAAAGACATAAACGTAACTCACTGAATAAAAAAATGAAATAAATGTTCATGGTAAAAACCCTTTTTCAATGTTTCAAATTTAGCTCATTCATCCCAAGAAAATAAAAACATTGCTATTTTATATCAGTAAAGCTTGTGTATAAACGTTTTCCGTGAGCAGGAGCTCGAAACTCGTAAAATTATATTATAAAGTAGACGCTGAAACTAATCTACTCAACGCGTCACGTCTGGCTTAATGTGCAATTTTTATTTAAAACTTTAGAATGATCTGATTACAGATTTCTATAGTAAGTCAATGGATATTCATGTCAGGATGAAAATTCAATTCTAAAAGCATCACACACAGTTTTGGACATTGAGGTATTAAGATCAAACCTAATAAACGTAGTAAAGTAACTTAAAATGTAAAATTTGGGTATATAAATATATAAACTTACGGCAGTAGTTGTTTCTCCATTTGAGATCACTAAGTGAGCCAAGTTCAATACAATCTTGAACATACTGTGTTAAGGAAGAACATTGACAATCTTTATTGGAATCCGTAAAACCGCATTCAGTTACGTCCCATTGGCACATTTCGTAATAGAAGATTGAATAAATGAATTGATTACATTCCGCAAATGGTGCTGACCTTATGACTTTGCAAACTTCTTCTGCCTGTAAATAGAAAAATAAAAAATAAAATATTTTTATTTTAATGAAGAGTTTCATCTTTCATTCACTCACTCTTTCAATAAATGGTATATATACGTTTGTTATTGTATTTGTACAAAACGAAAAACAAGTTAGCAACATCTATGAGAATCAATATCAGCAAACTGTTGTGCAAGAAAGAGACGCATTCTTTGACTTTAGGCAATTTTAGAATTAGATTGTATCATGTGTGCAGAATTCAAAACCATCCGATATCTTAATTCAGAGGCTTGAACAATTGTATTTAATCTAAAACATATTGAACCAACAATAAGAAGCCAGCCAGATTGTTCATTTGTCTACGTGCAGCCGCGTTATCCTAACCGGAGAGGAATTTCTTCCAAGAGAGGAGTTTTGTCGCATTTTCTGTGTAGCCAACAATATTCTTAAACACTGTCACTGTATCATTAAACCCGCCCTGTGGTTTTCTTCAATATTTGCTATAAACTACTCATAAACTACTTGAACTGCACTAAAGTAAGAGTGTGACTTGCAGATCAATTGTTAAAGGACCAATAAAGATTAAACAAATTAAATTTTTATGCATAGTAAGAGAGGAATAAAAAGTTACAAAATAAACGAAGGAAGGAAATCAACGAAACGGGTTGAGTACCACTGAATTACCATTTGTAAACAACACAAAATATTTCAATCTGAGAGGGGCTGCTAATGTTCGACAGTTAGTCCATTGTGCAAATCGTTAGCAAACCGGGATGATAATGCCTACGAGGACTGACTGGTGGATCGTCGCCAAGTTTGCCTAACCACTGATAGGTAACGACTTCGTTCACTATGCAATTTAATGCCCTGCCTATAACGATTCATCCATCCTACTATATTATTGTCTGTAGTCTGATTAGTATTTGTATTCACAATAAAAGAAGTTCGACTCAATCTTACGTAAGGCGGAAGGGTATCGATTGTTGTGCTCTCCACTTCACATGTTTGGTCTTGTGCCCATGAATTTAGGAACATTTCTAGTAGCTTTTTATCAGCTAAATTACCTAAAAAAAGACAAATGATGTCTATTAACTATATTCAAAATTCTAACATATTCAACTGCAGCGGTCTGAGTTATAAGTTCTTTCTATATTTTAGTGGTAAGCTAATTAATTTCTTGTCATCAGAATGTTGTACATATACCGATAGCTACGGGGTTAATGTTGTTGTGTGAATAATATAGAAATAGGTAAATATATCATGGACATAAAAATACTTGCATTAATATATTGGAATTTAAGGTGATGATTTCGTATAACAATTTGGAAAAGACAGGCGTTGACAACATGTAACTAACTTCTTTATCAAAATCTCTGCTTACCAGAAGGTGTCTTCATATCATTTGAAGCTACGGTATCAAAGTTTCCACATAAGCCTTTGGCTGTTCCGGAATATTTACGATCTAGTTTTAGGGATGTCCTTTCTCCTGTTTTGTCGACTTCTAAGCTGAATCCATCTTGTCTTATACGAATTTTGCTATACGTCACAGTCACTTGATAAACGCCAACATATCCGGTAGTTTGAATAAAGCTATAATGTGTGCAATATTGTAAAGATTACCACATAATTATATTTTCTTTGAATGAAATTTTGACTCCAACTCTGGTAGCCAAGCCTTCTTTTTGTTATTAGAGAATGCTTAGTCACCTTATATTCTTTTTAATAACATCAAAATTTAAAAATTCAAACTTCTGGCGTAGATTCTGATTTTTATATTGACTTCATGGAGTAAGATATTTGTATAGATAAGCTGATCATAATTTGATTCCCAAATCTATGAGCATTCGAGTGGGTTAAACAAAAACCTGAAACATATTTAATTTAGAGTCCCAGGTAATGCTTCTGTGTGAGTTATTATTGTTAAGAGCCTTATAATTTTTACGCTGAATGTTTGGTTTGGTAAAATGAGAAGTGTCATCAAATTCTGTTTTAAACTATGCAAGTGTAAACCAAATCATTCAATATATACATTTTGCCTATTATCACTTTCTGAAGCTTAGGTGGTTTGTCACATGGTATAGCAATATCTGTATAAATAGACGATTTTATTTTAAACAAATGGCAAAGTCCAGTACAAAAGTTATACATTATTTGAAAATTCATTTACCTTCCGTCAGTAGACTTGACCCCCATTTTGTTTTCTTGGCTTTCATCTCTTGTAATGTAAAGAACGTCAACTCCCCCTTTAGTAATTTTTATAGACTTAAGTGAACTCCTGCTTCTGATCGTGTTATTTTTCAGTTCAACCGTAATCTGTATAACACATTACTTTCGTTACAGGTATAAGCTGTGCTATATAAAATATTAGGAGCTCCAGAAGTACGTGCACTAAAATGGCGCACAACCTGAACATATCATTGTACCGATCATGTTTCAGGTTGGGCGACATCTTGATGCACATACTACAGAAGCGAATTTAATTAATATATATTATCATAAAATAGACAAGCTTAATAAATGTGAAATATTATATTGTGGTTATAGTTATTACCTTAAAAGCGCCAAATTCACTCAATGTGTACAGACAAGAGCTTGTGAAATGATAGTGTAGGTCGTCGAAAGTTCGAATGATGGAATTTCCGTAGAGTGCACATGTGATGTACGAGGGAAAAAAAGTTTGAAATTCCATAGCTGGTATTAATGAATTTGGATCTGCATAACCTAAGAATCATATACGTTAAATCAAAATTTTCAAACGTAAATTAACGTTACTAACAATCCTGGCAGTAGTTTAATTTACGAAAATGGATACATGTATATATATATATACCGGTATATATAGTATATATGTTAACAATACAAAAACTAACATAATTGTATTAAAATTTACCAATTTCCTAACATGGTATGTTCTTACAATTATTAAAAAACAAAATGTGAAACTATATAATACATTTATGATTTCAAGTGGAATTTGTTATTCATTTAGATTTTTTGGAAATTATCTAAAAATAGGCCAATATTGTGCCATATTTACGTAGTTAGCCAATGATCTTCCAGATTCGTAATTTCAAAACGAAATTTGAAATGATACTTACTGTATGAGCATCTGAATCCAGCGTAAAACTCAGGACAGGAACAGGTATCGTTTAAAATGCAACTTCCCCCATTTTCACACGGTGGATTGCAGATAGCTGAGAATATCCAAATTTTAATATTGCAATAAAGGGGCTGCCGAAGTATGCGAACCAAGATGGCGGACATCGGAATGTAATATGTGTACTAGGTTAGGGTTAGGCCATAATTTCAACTATAAATACTACGGGAGGCTCTTGGCTAGTCTTCGAACTGATAATAGGACTAAAATAAGGAAAATTGGAAAAAAATTATCGCCTAACCCTAACCTGTTACTCAGGTTACGTTCCGATGTACGCCATCTTGGTTCGCATACTTCGGGAGCGCCGCAATAAATGTATAAGTAGTATCAAAAAAAAATGTTTTAAAATAATAATGCTCGTGTTATATAGTAGAATACAATTTTCATACTTATCACAGGGGAGAGGAGAGCCTATAAGAAGGTGTATTTTTTAAATAGCGTACCTTGTTACCAGTCCGTATCGGGTATGAAATTAGTTACCAAGCTATTTGTTTCAGATACATGTGCCTGATGATGAAGGTAATTGACGACAAGGACTCCACGACTCCTTTCAAATATAATTATCCCTTGTGGGACTCGAAACCGCGAACCACTACGTGGTGTCAGAAGTACAATGGTAAACGTATTCCTAACGCTTACCACGATTGGAATAGTTCAACAGTTTATAAACTAACTAGTTCGAAAATTGAATACATTTATTGAAACTATACATCCACCACAGCTGTGTTAGCCAATATTATGTCACTCTATAGCAGACATAGGCAAACGGCCCGCGGGCCAAATATGGCCCGTTGGGTAATTCAATCAGGCCACCTGATGCTCCGACAATCAAACTGAAACCAAATTTTGTTGTAATTGCGGTTAAATTTAGTTTTGGCAGAAAGCTTATTGTTCTTTAGCTTAGCTTCGTAATACTGTAAATATTGTTCATAAAACGTAATTTTTACGTCACACTAACATGGCCCGCCAGACTAGGTGGCCAAAATTGTTGGCCGCTGGTTCAAACACCGTGCCCACCCATGCTCTAGTCTATAGCATCACAACTGCTATACTCACGTATGAGTACTTGTTCGAAAGACATCTTGAATCCCCTTGTTTCTCGATCTGTATTTGACTCAAATAGTAAAGTGGCACCATCGTAATACTCTCTCGTGAAGGTTTGTTTATCACAGAATTCTTCTTTTTTGATAGATAAGTAGTCCAAGCTTTTAAAAATTCGGAAATTAAAGATATTAGAAAAGAAACGTTTACAAAGATGCATATATATATATAAATATATAATATGGTGTCATAATCATATTAGAATGCGTTCTCCTCCGCTTTTTCATCTGCAACATTTGCTAAGGGCATTTGCTGAAATGGGTCAAGATGTTTGGAAATTCTCAATATAACAAATACTCTCCTGCGTGCTGCTTAGCTGTTAATTATTCAAATGAATTTATATTTTTTGATAATGAAGTTGAAAAAACGTTTCTTATTTTATTTAAAACATGGTACATAGAGCTAGTTTGAATCTAGACTTCAAAAATTCACAGAGTAACCTATACATCAAAGATTTTTACAGGAATCGCCAAGATCAACAAAAGGTTTACTTTTTTATTTGACTGTCCCATTTGCCCATCCCATAATTTTGAGCTTGTCTTTTCCCAATAACAGTAAATACAGGGTGTCTCAAAAGTATGTATACACTTTTACATAGACAACATAGCTTGGATAAATAGTAAAATTTAGGCATTGATTACACCTTTCAACAACCCACAGAATGACAAGAAGATTAACCCAAATAATAATTGCAAAATTACTGTTTGGCAAGAAGTAACTGAGTGCCTTTTTAACAGAGAATTTGGAAATAATTCAGCTCTGAATGTTTTTCTCAGAGCGTCCGCTCCTTGATCATTCTGATCTTTGTACATCAACTACAGATCATTTTCCATAAATTTATGATGGATTGCACAAATTTTGCGTCGTGTAGGAGCCGAATTAATTCCAAATTCTATGTTAAAGAGGCACTAAGTTCGTCTTATTTATATGCTTTTTGCCAAACAGCACTTCATTTCATCTCATTTATTGGGTTGATCACCTTGTCATTCTATGGATTTTTAAAAAATGAAAACAATACCTAAATTTTACTTTATATACATACTATATTTTCTAAAGAAATGAACGCTTTATGATGAGTACCTGAAAAACAAATCAAAATAAAAAATGTATACTTACTTTTGAGACACCCTGTATATAAAAGCAATATATATACGTTCAAGTCACTTATAAGTTTACTGCTCCCTTCAATATTGATCCATATGTATATGACCCAGTTATTTTGCGTTAAAAAAAGTTTGTAAAAATCACGTCTTCATGACGATAAAGCTTTAAATACATGGCCTCATCAAAGCTTTTGAAAGTTTATAAACATATCTTACCATTTGCCGTCGTACGCTTCGTCTAACAGAAAATCATCTGTAGTGATAAGAATATAGTAGTTATCTTTTTTGGGAATGTCCCATTTGCAGTATTGGTCCGGAGGATAATTATTAGGATAACCCGGCGATTCAATTGTCCCACTCATTTCGTCATGAAGTCCCCGCATGACCTGAACATATGGATACAAAATATTAATAATACGCAAGCATAAAAAAATACATCAATTGTTAAAACTGAATAATTACTCAAAAATTTTATATTTACAATACACTTAATTGGATGTTGAGCTTTTTATTAATGGATGATGGGTCACGCCGCAACAATCCATCAAATGATGCCTTGCCAACACTCTCGAAAGAGCATAAAGATATTAAACGTGATGGGCAATTAGACAAATATAATGTCTGTTTCAAAAAAATTGGACTCAAACACATTTAAAAATTCTAATTAGTGTCATTGGCGATAAAAATGTATAGCTTGCATCTAAAGCACCGCAGCGTTAACTTTGTGTCGCCGAGTGTTGGGTCGCGTCGTCACGCTGACCTTATTTAGGGATCGAAATTTTTAGCTTTGACGAGGCATAAATTTCAAACGCAAGATTCTGCCTGACTCGATCTATAGTCTAACTTCAGATTGTGTGTTTTTACCTTTTTGATCAGATTTGTGTATTTTGTTTGTGGTAGTTCGAATATTATATTTAACAATCAGAACAATGATTTTAAAAATTCCCGACAAAAAATATCTTTCTTTGAAAGTGTCGTATAGTTGAAAAATTCAGAGAGTATTCATAGCTTTATCCCGTGAAATACACGTTTGGTCATAAGATGACTCTGTTGCTGTTAACTGATCAATTTGAAACAATTCGGAATATAATTTGCAATGTTCATTGTTCATTATTATTAATTCGTGAAGGTAGTTCCGTCTTTCATTGATTGAATAACTGTAATTTGTTCTCGAATAAAAATCATATTGGTGATGTGTGGCGCTATGGAGCAATAATTGCCAATTCGTAGTATGATAAAGTCTATCGTAGCACCGCAAGTCAAACATGCCAAAAAATCAAATGACGCCAAAATGATTTGTATATAGCATTACAATTTCTCAAAACTTCCAGGGTTAAAATCAGAAGAGGACTGTTTGTACAACTTTCGATTTGACTTCTTGAAAAAAGCTTCATTCCTTGAATGCATATATATACTGAGTACAAGGAAGTGAACATAACAAATGAAGACGGGATACCAGATTTTAATTATTAACGGTCACTTTGTGTTTGTGACCGGTGTGATATTTTGCCTCATGCGCGCATTTTTTTCTTCCGAAATATTACAGAAAATAACTCTCAAGACAAATAACAGCAGATAGTTTTGCTTGGTAAATCTACAACTTTTTCTAAATATACGTAGCTGAGTCAAGGTGAAGTAGTTCTCCAATTTCAATGCGGTGCAATTGTCTAGTGAACCAAGTCGGGCATTGAAAGAATGGTATTAAAATTTTTTTCATTGTCCCGTTTCGAGTGTCGTTCTTTTGTGTCGTACAATTAACGAACCCAAATTGTTGACGCATACAGCTGGAAATTAGATCGAATTGCAAACGACTTGGGTACAATTTCTGTCAGGTTGGGTCAAAGCGCGAGCGTGCCAGATGTTCTCGTTAATTTGAATAGCATACGCCCGATGAAGTTGAGACAACATAAAAAAAAATTTTAGTCGGTAATGATCAGTTTTACGATTATATCGACCTTTATAGACGTTATGTCACTACTCTCTTATTCGGGAAAAAATAAATTTGCGTTTGCCGTGTTACGCCAAATTTCATGCGAATATTACAATTTATTAATTATTTCGTAACATTATGCACCAGAAGTAAAATAAGTTATTGTGTACTCCAGGGGTCGGCACGGGATTCAATGGCGCCGAATATATTCAAATGGAATTTTTTGAGATGCAATTACATGAAAAAATAAAAATCTATATTCTATTCGAGAGATGTGTTGTTCGGTTTTTAACTTTCTAAAAATATGTGCGGCCCGCCAAAGACTTGCAACCCGTAATTTTGTCCCACGAGCGACAACAGGTTGCCGTGCCCGGGTGTACTCTTTTTAAGTGGATGATAAGTCAGGCAGATACATATTTTCCTAGGCATTGGTCATTGCTAAGCTCTGCTAGTTTGCAGACATACATTTTCCTTATTTTGCGGTCCAGATATTACTTTCTAGATTTTGGGCGATATTTTGTATTTTCACGCATTGTTTATTTCAACGTTATTTTAACATTAACATTATTTTGCAAAAAAATCAAATATTTATCACGTACGATGAATGAAAAAAATAAGACGTTACTTACTGAGCTTGAACTTGAGCTGAAATGATAAAAATATAAAATAATTAATGATTTTTTTTAAATATGATTTCAAGTACATGATTGAAATAGAAAATTATGAAATAATTTAATATAGGTTTGAAAATTACCTAATTACCTGATTTCATGATAGCTTATATATATGCATGCAAAAATGCAAGCAAAACTAGATTTTGCTATCTATCAATAATTTTCATGGATGCTGACGCGTTACCTATTTTTACTCATTGATATTTAACTATATTTTCGGTAACACTTT